TTTAGGCGGGCGTTTATGTGTGTGTGTGTGACTTTGTTTCTTCAAAAAGCAAATGCAATGCATCTCATTTGATACATTCATTTCAATCTCTCACTTAGATACTTTTGCGCAAGTCTATTTTTGCGCTCTCGTAAACCTTTCGTTCATAGCAGACTTTTAAAATAAATGACAATTTGCTAAGTGTAAACTTTTTTTTTTTACTCACACGGTAGTTCGTCTCAGGAGAGAAACAAAGCTCCCTAATATTTATATTTTCTCCTTTCTTAAGGACAAACTGAAGGTGAGCAATGAAATCGTGTTTTAGTCCGAAAAAAAAGTAACTTGAAGATGCATAAGACCAACATTTGAAATAAGAACAACAAATTAAAAATTGTTAGGAGAGACACGTGTCCATGAAATTGTCACACTGTAGTTCTGAGAGGGTAGAATAATTTATGCTATGGTGTAGCGCCGATGGGATGGACGGGGGTGGTAGGGGGGGGGGGGCATTTCGCATTATCTTCCCTGCCGTTTAACATGCAAATCCAGCATTAACAAACATCTAATCTATAACAATACAAAAACAAATCGAAAGGCAGAATATAAATAAAAATATTAAATTATGTTTTGTTGTTATCATTATCCGTATGGGCATTTCAAATTTCCCATTTTTTTTCCAACATAGAAAATTACCAAAATGTCTTTTTCCTTAAAGCTTATCTGCCGTAGTTTACAGGAGAGATTAGACTGCCCTGCAAGGTCACTGGACAGGTGGTTATCTCATCAACTAAGCTCTCAGTTAACATAAGAAAAAGAGGATCATGGGGGACCAATGGTCACCGATTAGGCATTGTTTGTTATAGAGAGGGCGCAAGTAGCTACAAGTAGTGCAGTGGGCCTTTAAAGTTTGATTCATGGCGGTCTTTTCTTTCAAAGGACCTTTACTAATACACAATCCATAATATATTTTCAGGAGAACCCGCTCAATGGAGAAGGATTTAGGAGAAAAACTCCAGTTGTTGATATTTGATTCACGACAAGAGGGGGAGTTGTACATCAGGGGCCTGTTTCACGAAGCCTTTTTTCAATGACAAATGACAAAAAGCAGTGACAAATCTGCTGATAACCAATTAGAAGCAAGGATTTCAGTAGCTTATAACAAAAACTGTCATTTGTCACTGATGACAAGTTTTGTGAAACAACCCAAGGGCCCTGTTTCATAACAACTTGATATCAATAGCAAGTTACAGGCTACTGTTATAAGCTACTGAAATCATGGCATCTGATTGGCTGAGAGCAGGTTTGTCATAGAAATTAGGCATTTGTTTTATGAAACGGGCCCCAGTACGATATATTCCACTGACCAATTATTGCAAATTTAAGATTCGCATATATTTTGTCATTCTATAACTCAAACATTCATTTCTCTCTCATTGTTATCCCGATTTATTTCAAAATTGTACTATTATTTTTCTCTTATTCTTCTGCTGTCATACTTATTGCAAAGAGCAAAGATTGGATTGCCTTTTAAGAAATAATAACAGTTAAACTCAATGATATTGGCACGTCCATTTCTATTATAGTTTAGCAGTTTAATACATTAGAGAGAGAGAGAGAGAGAGAAAAGAGATATATAGATAGTATAGATATATATAAAGGGAGAGAGAGAGAGAGAGAGAGAGAGAGAGAGAAAAGAGACATATAAATAGTATAGATATATATATAAAGGGAGAGAGAGAGAGAGAGAGCAAAAGAGATATATATAGATAGTATAAATATATATAAAGGGAGAGAAAGAGAGAGATAGAGAGTAGAGTATAGAGGGGGGAGGGGGGGGGGGTAATATCAAATATGAAATATCAAAGAACATTTAGGCGGGCGTTTATATGTGTGTGTGTGTGTGTGTGACTTTGTTTCTTCAAAAAGCAAATGCAATGCATCTCATTTGATACATTCATTTCAATCAATAAGAAATAATAACAGTTAAACTCAATGATATTGGCACGTCCATTTCTATTATAGTTTAGCAGTTTAATACATTAGAGAGAGAGAGAGAGAGAGAGAGAGAGAAAAGAGCTATATAGATAGTATAGATATATATAAAGGGAGAGAAAGAGAGAGATAGAGAGTAGAGTATAGAGGGAGGGAGGGGGGGGGGGGGGGGGTAAGAGGTAGAGGAGAGAGAGAGAGAGAGAGAGAGGGGGGTGGGAGAGGGTTCTTAACCATGATAAATACTCATTACAAGCCTTCAACACTCTTCCCTACCCCTCCCCTATTGTGTATTTTTTTTTTTCGTTTTTCACCACAGTGCATCAGCAGTGCGGAAGATTATATTTGTTATAGTACATGTAGTTACGCCCCGGCCCCGGCCCCGGCCCCCCATTTCGTGGTCAGAGGGGCCGCATGCGTGTCCCCAAAATGTCCGGTAAAGGGGTACTTTTCACGGACCAAAGTCCGGCTCGTACTACACAAAAATCCGGCCCGTATTGACTTTACACACTGGACTTAGGGGGGTGTCTTCAAAAGGACGGAACGTGCATACGCGTACCCTAAATAAATAAATCGACATACTCAAGTTATTGTTTGTATTCAATGAGTATAATCACAATAAAGTGCGTGAGTTCTTGTGAGGAATTCGCCCTTGATGTTTCCGATTTAAGCATCTTTGACCCCGAGCTGAAGCGCGGTTTTGGTATTATTAACGTAATACGAACCTAACAGTTTTCCACCAAATCACAAGCATTCAGGGACAGATTTCCACTGGGTAATTTTTGAAGTAAACTTTAGATTCACGTGCATGTATTATAAGTATTACAACTTTTGGTACGGGGTCATGAATTTGGTTCAAATGAACACATTAAAAGCAAAGGCGATGTTACAATATTCAATGATCGTTGTCGCGGTTGAAATCGAGGTTAAAGTGATGAAATTGTAAATAATAAATTCTTGGTGTTGAATAATGCCCTCTCAAGACTGATATTTGTTTTCTTCTTTCCTTTTTTTAAAAACTTTCTTTGCTCAGGTTCTCAAAATAAGAATTCGAACCCTTTTCTCAAAATTGATACGATTATATGAGACATATAATACATGGTAGAGACCATATAGGCTCATAGGAGACTATATTAAAGTAGGATGTTTGATGCATTTAATACGATTATGTCTCACGAAATAATTGTATTCAGAATTATAGAACGTCGTGACATGCATTGATATACATCAGAGCGATAGAGGGCGGAGGTGATATAATCTCATAATAAGATTTCGAACCCTTTTCTCAAAATTGATACGATTATATGAGAAATATAATACATGATAGACCATAATAGGCTTATGGAGACTATAAGTAGGATGTTCGATGCATTTAATACGATTATGTCTCACGAAATAATTGTATTCAGAATTATAGAACGTCGTGACATGCATTGATATACATCAGAGCGATAGAGGGCGGAGGTGATATAATCTCATAATAAGATTTCGAACCCTTTTCTCAAAATTGATACGATTATATGAGAAATATAATACATGATAGACCATAATAGGCTCATGGAGACTATAAGTAGGATGTTCGATGCATTTAATACGATTATGTCTCACGAAATAATTGTATTCAGAATTATAGAACGTCGTGACATGCATTGATATACATCAGAGCGATAGAGGGCGGAGGTGATATAATCTCATAATAAGATTTCGAACCCTTTTCTCAAAATTGATACGATTATATGAGAAATATAATACATGATAGACCATAATAGGCTCATGGAGACTATAAGTAGGATGTTCGATGCATTTAATACGATTATGTCTCACGAAATAATTGTATTCAGAATTATAGAACGTCGTGACATGCATTGATATACATCAGAGCGATAGAGGGCGGAGGTGATATAATACTCAGAAGTATCTCATTTAATGACGTCACGCACTGTTTTTTGTTTGTTTGTTAATAGCCGGAAAAGCATTAATTTTATTAATTAAACACGTGATTAAGTCCATTCTGGATGGGAGGGTTACCCAGCTGTCTCAAAGTATACACAAAGTGTGTCACAAAGATCCTTAGTTGAACTTATCTCTAAGTTGGACTTAAAAATTATGGAGAGCCATATGTAGTCTTTTCATAAATTCCACATCGAGGACATGAAATCTCCGATGAAAAGAGAAAATATGAATGATTTGAATCAACATTGTATGCCTTTAAAAAAAATGATTACAAAATATTTTCAAAGATGGTAACGGCTTTCCATAATTGTAAAGTCCAACTTAGAAACAAGTTCAACTTAGGATCTTTGTGAAACACCTCCCCCCCCCCACCCCCCTCCCCCCAGATAAGTTTATCAACTTCACGTAGTCTCTGGTCTCTGGGCATCAACTCAATTCATTCTTCACGTGATTAACGCCCTTCTGAATAAAAGGGTTACTTCTCTGGTTAGTGCTGAAAGGGCGGAAACATTTACGCCCTCCTGGCTCTCGACCGAAAGAAGAATGATCATTGTTGCAAATTTCACACCTAAGTATTTTATTGAACAACTCTATGTATTCTCTGCTTAGAGCCGAAATGATGCCAGCCCACGTCAATGAACACATGGTCAAGGCTGTACTGGCTCGTATGAGACTTTAAGTAGGACGTTTGTTGTAATTAATGTGATTATGTCTTACGGGGTTTATGAGAGTTCCGCCGAGGCACGAATTAATGTTCTTTGGCGAGACACTAATCTGCATTTGCAAAACTCGACCCACGTGAGGTAAGAGGGTACCTGGCTGGAATGAATTCCGGGGAATGCTAGAGCACCATACTCCTCTTTGTTTGGTCCCTTCAATTATGATTACCCCAACATTACCAGGTACAAATCTTTACACCTGGGTGGCAAGTATGGACGTGAGTGTTCGGCTGGGATTCCTACCCGGTCTCGATCCTTTGATTGAGAGTCAAGTGGATTAATCACTATACCAAGACACCTCCACAACTCCTTTACCCTTCCATGACTAATAATTGCACTTGATCTCTTTTCCCTCTGCAGGAATTGATTGTATCCTTAAACAGAATATGGCCCAAAATTCTGTTCTCGGAACTGTCATCCTTCTCATTTCCTCGACGACCTATCTTGGACAGACATCGGGCGAGAGTGAGGCAACAACTTCTTATGAAATTACCACCGACGCATTCTTCGGCACCTTTGAAGACGTCCACAACAGCACCTTCCGCGATGCACAAGGTGATGTCTCTGAAACTGTCTTGTCGAGTACCTTTGGTCCAACGGAGGAAATAGAGGGTACGACCATGATGAATGGCCAATGGTCCTGGACCCCAGTATCCTGGACATGGAACATGGTTCTACAGCTCATCCTAGGAATCGTAGGCATCCTTGGTAATCTACTAGTCATGCTCGTTCTGTTCAGACGACGATCTCTCAGCAGGACCACAGACACTCTAATCGGAGCTCTAGCACTTGCTGATTTCGTCACCTCAATTCTGATCATCCCCATCCCAACAGCCGAGGTGGTACCGTCCACCTGGGTTGGTGAACTGTACTGCCGTATCCTCTATACATCTTTTTTCATGTGGCTCTTTGTCAGTGTGTCCATCTTTACACTGACAACCATATCCATCGAGCGTTTCTTTGCCGTTGTGTTTCCTATCAAGTTTAACCGCATCCTGCGTAAGCGTCACGTTGTCTTTGCCATTCTTCTGATCTGGCTTACAGCTGTTGTCGCAGATAGCTTCATCCCACTGGCTATATCCGTCGACCCCAGCACCCAATCCTGCATTTATTCTTACTCTTCCCAGCTTGCCTCAGAGGTCGCAGGGGTCACTTCCTTCCTGCTTCACTTTCTCTTCCCTTCGCTCATCATGTTAGGCACACAGGCAGCCACGGCTTACGCCCTCTATCAGCAAGCTCTGCTCTTCGGGAAAAATGGCGACGGAAGTAGCCGATCAACGTCATCGTACCGCCTCCTGAAGGCCAAGAATCGTGTGATTAAACTACTTCTTATAGTAATAATTGTCTTCATAATCTGCTGGGGACCAAACAGCATAGGTTATTTCCTCTTTAACGTAGGGGTTATTGATTACACGTATCTCTATGGAGATCTTAATCGCATCCTGACTGTATTGGCGTTCTGCAACTCGTGCGCTAACCCATTCATCTACACCATCCAGTACCCTCAGTTTAGGATAGCCATTAAAGAACTGTTCACTGGCTCAATGTCATCGTTTGGGGCGCTATTCGATGGTCATGTGGAATCACCGACTAGGAACAACTCTGCACTCAATAACTGTGACGATAAGAGTATCACACAGCTGACAACTATTCCTTCACATGCAGTGCCTGAGTGACCCGAGTAATTAATGTAGTCCGACAGCTCATGAGATCTAACGGTCCGGTAGACCTAATGGTTCAGTAGCCTAACGGTCCGGTAAACTGACAGCCCATGGGACCGATAATAATGGTCTGATGAACTCCCAGAATTATTGTAAGTAGACACACGAAAGCGATGTGTGAGTCTCATTAGGTTGTCGGTCTAGTGGGATGTTTGTCTGATGGGCCGTCGGTCTATAGTGGCTTGTCAATGTTACGGGCTTTCCGTCTCTAGGCCTGTCAGTCTCGTGGGCTCTCAGTTTTGTCGGCTGTAATCTTTAAAATGACAGTTTATCAACGATGGGGGAAAGTGCAATTCATGAAAAAATTATAGTTTCGTATAAATAGCAACCAATGAACAACAGTCATAACATTTTGTTGAATTAGTTTGGTCAATGCTCTATAAATTGGCCATTTTCGTATTAATGTAACCGAAGTTATTTTCGTAAAGTGTCTCGACACGAATGATTTCATTCACCTGTTACGAATAATTGTATTTCAATATGAGTCAGGATGCAAATAGTATTTATCATGTTCTGTTAGGAAGTGCAAACCATTATGTTTGTCCTACCTAAAGCAACAACTCATATATGCAATTGAAATTCTGACTGTTGAGATTCAGCCCGAAGGAATCCCTCGCAACCGGCTCCAGTGAGACTTTGCCTACCTGGCTAAGCCTCAACCGCCTGAGAACTGGCTACGGACGATGCAGAGTCCTAATGCAGAGGTGGGGTCTAGGAGACGAACAAACAGCATGTGAATGCGGCCAGGAACAGACAATGGAACACCTGCTAGTCTGCCCACTCCTGCCAGAGTCATGCACCCAAAATGACCTGGAAGCCGTGAATTACCGTGCCAAAGCCTGTGTGGACCACTGGACGTGATTCGATAAGAAGAAGAATGAAATCATTCGTATCGAAGCGCTTCTCAAAGGCATATGCATTAAGTTGGACCTTGTAAAAGACTTATTTTTATTGAATTGGCTACCTTGTTTATCTATTGATAGATATTTAACCTTTGTAATTCAATTATTATGTGCTATAGTGGTTCTTACGCTGACTTTTACATTAAATGATACATGAACTTGATTTAAAGATTATTTAGATATCATTTCACTTTGGGAAAAAAAAATCGAAGGAATAGAAATGAGATTGAGTTTATTATATGTTATACACAGTAAAAGCCCGAAGCAGTTCGCAGACTGGTTTCAATCAAGGCCGTGTTGATACAAAGCAACTTAATCATGACGTATAAACAAAAGTAATATAACACTGACAAATTTACAACCATAACACAACAATATATATAAAATAAGCTAAAAACACTTAAGTTGATTATAACTATATTGATAGGCTTAAAATATAAACAATTTGATTATCAAAATATGTATGTATACATACATAGTAAAAACAAAACGTGACAGTGAGTATAAAAAGATATTAAACAAGTTAAGAACATATGTATGTAATTATGTTAAATATTATATAAGAAAAATGCGTAATCCATATGGTTTAGAAGTAACATGAAGTATGGAATAATACTAAATACTTAAGAACATATAAATACGGATCAGTTAAATATTACATGAATAATTTAAAAAGTTACCCCCTTCCCACACACTTATTTCGTATTACATCAGTTTACCTTAAAAGCTTTTTTTCTTTTTAAAGATTTAGCACCTTGTACATCATGTGGCAGGTTATTTCATGAAAAGGCCCTTCTATATTTGAATGATCTTTTCATAGTCCCAGTCTTTGGTCTTATTGTTTTCAAATTATACAGACTTGAACGTGTATTGTATGTAAGGTCAGAAAATATAAACTTGTCTACTAAATATTCATAAGCTTGTTTTGAGACAATCTAATACATCATAATTGCTACATTTTTAAAAATAATATGGATATTTATATAGCGCCGGTATCCGCCAGGCTCTGACGCTCATGGCGCTGTACATACATGTATTACTATCACAAAAAATATAACTTTCTTAACTAAAATAAAGTAAACTAAAACAACACAAATTATTACGCTACATTGACATGATTAAAAAGCACTGTTTAGAAGTGTTTTCCATTTTTACTCTTGTTCAATTTTCATCTGATGAGGAATACCAAGAGGATCTATTAATTATTCGTGCTGCTCTATTCTGAATTTGGTGTAATTTGTTTTTCTGTGTACTTCCACATCCGCCCCATACTACATCGCAATAGTTTAAGTGAGACAATACTAGTGAATTATAAACCAATTTCATTTCATATTCATATACTATATATATATATATATTTTTTTTTATAGATTTGAGCATATATAATCCGTTACTTGCTTTTTAACGAATATTATTAATATGTTTCTGCCATGATAACCTTCATCTAAAATTACCTCAACGTGTCTACACTTACTAACTCGAGTTAACAAATTATTATCCATAGTAATTTTAAAATCAGTATCTTTAACTTTATCCAGATGTTGTTTCGTATCGAATAAAATGTATTAAGTTTTTTAATATTCAAATTAACAGATAATACGAATGAATTGATGAAGATATGAACAACTAAAGAAAGATTTGGATGAATAAATGGTTTGGAATGATATTAAACAAGTATTTTTCAAGTTTTCAATATAAGTGTGTTAATTACTTTAATATCAATTTCAAATAAATGTCTCTATAGTGATTTGTATGTTCTTGTCTGTATTTTTTTTCTTGTCTCCAAACACTTTCTAAATTAAAATGATTTCAAAAATGATTTTTTTTTTTTTTTTTTTTTTTTTGGGGGGGGGGGGGGGGGGGGGTTAAAGATGCGGATAAATCTTAAAATTATCGATTTCAATATAATTACATTAATTGGAGAAGGACTGTACATATTAGAAGCGTGTTATTTATTCATTGACCTTTGCATTAAAGGGACATCCAACCTTGACCGCAAACTACTCTACAGTGTGAGTAAAAAAAAGGTTACATCTAGAAAATTGCTATTATAAAAGTCATCTATGAACAGTAAGTTAGTATCTTATAAAAGATTGTTTTATCCCAAATCACTTGGTATCATTTGTGTGTGGTATGTGTTCAAGTTTGGGTGAGTAGGAGACATTGTTTAAGAGAGTGCAAAAATCCTCCGCCAGAGTATTGCTGATGAGCTGTTGGAATAAAACAATTGGGATTGGGCCGGTCATTAATTCGGTCTTTGTAGATTCCATTAACATCCCTAATAAAATTAATCATGTCACACATATAAAATATCAAATATCAAATGGCAACCATCAGAGAACATATATGTGCTTGTGTGTGTGATTGTAGGTGTGTGTGACTTTGGTTCTGCAAAAAGCACATACAATGCATAGCATTTGATACATTCAAAACGCTAAAACAGTGCCCATTTTGAATGAGCGTGCATGCACGCACGTATAAACTACATATAAAGGGATGCATGCAATCTCTATGGCAAAGAATTTAGCACATTTAGTTATAACTGCGTGCGCGATGAGTGCCGCACTGCATGGCGCGACGATTTTAAGTCTACCTATATTCTGACATTTGCGTACAGATACTGACAATTTTAACTGTGAACTAATACGCTATAATTTAAAAACTTCAAATTGGTTAATAGAAAAGTGATTTCAATTAAGCCATTGAATCCCACTTTGAAGCGCGTCGGTAGCATGGTTGGCCATGATGCTTTCAGCCAGCGGGACTTTCCTGGCACGTGAAACATGACGTCATATGTAAACAACACTGTCTAAAAGCTCTCGTATAGTAAATATAGCAGTCATTAAATTTTAAACAGCGAATGTTTAACAAAATTACTTTCGTTTTGAGCAACATTGTTTACAATTTGTTCAACTGTTGTTAAAGATAGTGTACAACTGTAAGTGAACATCATTTTTTTAAGCAGCGTTTTTACTGTGTACTGAACTTGGAGGCCGATGCTTGCAGACTTGCAACCCAAAGCCTGTCATAGTCCTCGTCAGTTGATATGAATAGATCTGTCCAAAAGAGAGACGGAGAGGCACAGCAAACAAATCAGAAATAATGTAGAGGGGAGGATAGTGAGAGAGAGGGGGAGATGGAGATACATTGGAGAGAATAGGGAGCGACAGAGAGAGAGAGAGAGAGAGAGGGGGGGGGGGGGGGAGGGGGATAAAGAAAGAAAGAGACAGAAAGTGGGTGGCATGAGAAGGTTTGACAGAGTGTGTGTGTGTGTGTTTGTGTGTGTGAGAGAGAAAGAGAGATATTGTGGGTGTGGGTGTGAGTGAAACAGGGGGAGGGCAGAAAAGAGTGGAAGAAGAGAGTGGCGATAATATTAGTAATATAATAATAATACTACAATCAGATAGAAACGCGTCATCTGGTCTAAAATGATATTTATAAACACTGTAATACCCACCGCACAATTTCCAATAGCATTTATTATGAACATTTCAACTTCTGAACTCTGAATAATCGATGATTTTCATAGTCACGTGATTAATGATATCAAAATTCTGAAGGAATTCACGCACTTTAGGAGCAGGAATAATTAAATCGGCTCAAAATCGTAGTGACGTCATGACAGTAGTGCGATTCTTTACGATTTTAAGTCGATTTGCCTTTTGTTTATCCTTTTTTTGAGCCTACACCAAATAGATGTTTTTAATTTTTTTTTAAAATCTATTTTATGATTGTCATTCTAAAATCGGATGACAGGAAATTCGTATAGTGTGCGGTATGCTTATTGATGATGTGATCTAGTAGATTTGTAGCCAAGACAATCAGACTATGAAAATGCAAGGAGCAAAAACAAGCGAACCAACATCTGCTTTTAAAGGTTTCAAATTAACGAAAAATATTTCATTGTTTTCAAGAAGTTAAAAAAGGAAAATGGAATAAATAATTAACTTGCCAATTTAATTTTCAGAATGTGTCAAACCACATCACTTCTCCCCTTTTCCCATACACCGTCCCCCTCCTCTTTACAATATACCTTGCCACGAGTTAGGAGCTTTAACAAGATTGTATGAATTTGTTTTTCTGTATTTCGGGAGGAGGGGGTGTTGTTGCACTACAAGCCGGCAAACTTTTTTATTTGAAAGGGGGAGTATTCCCTCTGTGCTCCGCCTCACACATTATCTCCATTTTTGTACTAGGAGGATGGAGTCAGCCCCCGACGAACCCCAGACAAGTGCCAACAAACTTTTAATATTTGGAGGTGTGTTCTCCCACCCCCATCCTCACACACATACACACGCACACACAATACAAGTCAACTATTTACCTTTTTCTGTGTTGGCAGCCTTAAATACAGATGCTCCATTATCGATAAAATAATGGATAAAGAACATGTTATTTTGCAGGATCTCTTCACCACGTCGCGTCATGTGGGGAGGAAAGTCCTGTCGAATCAAGGAGGGAATGAAACTATAACCAACGACAACAACATAATCATCACATTTGTTTTGTTTTTACTGTTATTATCATAGTCATCACTGATACAAATATTCCTACTACTATTATATTTGTGATGGTGATGGTAGTTAAGATGATGAGGAAAATGATGATGATGAATGCGATAAGGGTAGGCATAATTATGATGACTGTTATTGTTAAATATAATGATGATGATGACGATGATAATAACAGTGAACTTACGACTACTTTCAGAGGACCAACATCGACAGCCTTAATGCACATCGACTTTTCATCTTTGCCACATTCAGAGTCGCTTTCATTGTCCGAATCGCTGACGGACGATTCTGGTGTTGAGATGGAGACTGGAATACCGTCATCACTACCGTATATCCGTCGGTATTTATTGATAGTCACGGTCTCTGCCAACAAAAAGACAAAAAGCTAAATAATTAATTCATTCATTCTCGCAAGAAAATATCTTTGTGGTTTGAGAATTTTTTCAGGATGAGTTTGCATGTTAGAGGGTTAGTACAGCAGAAGAAATATATTAGAGGTAACATATTATACAAAAATTACAGTTTTTTCATCAACCTTCAACAATGTTACCGAGTCATTTTTATGTCCTCGATCGAATAGCGCAATCTAAATGACACCACGATTGCAGAATCGTTCTCTGCCCACAAGAAGACAAAAAGCTCATTAATTAATTTATTCATTTATTCTGGGGAGAGATCGCGCTTGGACCGATTCTGTACAATAATATAAGCCTGCATGACCTTAGCCTTTAAACAAGGCCACATGTCTGATTGACACCGAGCGACTAAAAAGAGACTAATCGCGAAAACCTGAGTGAACGCCGATGCGAATTGCCCAGACAAGTAGCTTTTATCAATCTGGTTTGTATTTCTTATGTTAACCTTTGTTTCCGACTGGAATTCGCTACCGAAATGGAAGCGTTCAATCAGCGAACGTATCCTCGCACGACGTCAGCATAATAGTATCCATCATACACACACACACACACACACACACACAGTAAACTCTACGTAGTACGAACATGGACGTACGTGCTAAGACCACTGACCTCTACATGGAACGAATCACGAACAAAGCCAACTGGGAGATCGCCGTTATGATTGGTCAATAAATCCAAAGTAGGTGTATTGGCATACTAATATGTATCTATGAATAATTCATGCGGAGCAGTGAAACCAACATTGCAAAAGGCCTCGTGACATTCGTCACTCGGTCGCGCGTTCACCCCGGGTATCTAGACTTATCTCAGCCGCTTAGCCAGAGTCACGGGGCCTTGTCAAAAGGCTAGCATGACCTTGAATGGTGCAATCGAAATTACACAACGTGTGCAACGGGCTAGTCCAGAATCTGGCCTATTTAATTTTTGGGGATAAAAGGGAGTTTACAGATACAATCTACGCTCGGGCAGATAAAGGTAATTTGTACCAAAAAGGTAAAAACCACAGAGAATTATACTGGATATGCGCCCATGAAAGTTATGTAACATTATTCATTTATGCACCAGCGGTACATTCTATGATACGCAGGTGGAAGTATTCTTTTCAAGAGGGCAAACAAAAGGTATTCATGAAGCACATCTAGGACTTTGGCAGTTATTATTCTAATATATGCTCAAAATGGAACTTCTCCATGTGTAAAAGATCTGTGGATATTTGGGGTCATGTGTACCATGTGCTATCTGTAAACTCCCTTATTACAGTAGAGGATGGGGCAGATTCTGGACTAGCAACGGGCGGGCTCAAGAACCACTGCTTAAGCTATGGGCACAACTCAGAGCGGCGGCCGACCGATGTGTAGCCTGCTCGGTCGCCGCTGGAATTAAGGTATTGCCCGACGAATTTTGGAGAAGTCGAGCAGGCTGTAGAGCCCCAGCGATGCTTAGCCGGTGCCATGTCGATTTCCCGTTGGTCTCCGGTCAATTTTAGGTCAAAACTGGGCGAAATCGGCGAGCTTTTCCACGCGGCGTCCCTGCAATGACCTACTGATCGATAGCCACTGATTCCCGAGCGATGCTCTAAAAACAAGCGTTGTCTGGGCGAAATTTGGCTAAAAACTCGCCGCCCTTTTGGGGTTGTGACCATAGCTTTAGGCTAAGCTCTATTTTCCTTGATCGCTTGACGACGTGAGTCTGTGTAGAGAAGTAACGCACACAAGCCCGGGTTGCTGCGATGTTGAGTCACGGCGCATGAAGATCATGCTAAATCAGGGTTAGCCTAAGCTGATGAGACCTAATTGGTACCTGGTCTGAAGGCACAGCCTCCTTATTCGAACTTATTGACAATAAGCTAAATCGGTATTACAATCTGCGCAAATAAGCAGAACCAACTGAAAACAGAGTAAAGTAAGTAAATTCGAAATTTAAAAAAACCGTTTTCCCAAAGGTTTTAACCACACTACAGTTTGTAGGGCTTCAATATCACACCATATCGTAGAAACTGATAAAACATAGGGCCACTTCAGATTTGTAAAACTGGAAACATCCTAAAAAACGCCTTGAAGTTCTCTGTCTGCGAAGTGGTAATTAGGTACTGTGTCGCGTACTGTTGGCGATGTGACCATGAGATGGCGCTGTGCAATAAATAGTTCGCTAGGGCAGAACGTCCACTAGTTCAGTATCTCTTTAAAATACCAATTTAAATTTTGAGTAAATTTTACCATGTGTTGAATACAAATTGTTCGATGTCTCAAAACGTTAAAGGGATAGTTGCAATGACGACTCTCGTCATTGCCTTGTTTTCGTTCACATTCTGCCCCATTAATATTCTTGTTTTCCTTATCGTCAGCAAATCGCATTCGTTTTGCACATGGTGCTTGTTATTCCTAGTTAGGTGCTTTTCTTATGTCCTTTTCCTTTCAAATTTCATAGGCATAGTCTCTGACATCTCATCAAGGTCACTACATTCTTTGATTTTCAAAATCACTCATGCATAACCGTCCAGGCGCCAATTTGTCCGTTTCTGGTCCATTTTAAGTCCTTTCTATCTTCCTTCCTATCTCCACTATCTTAGATCCTAAAAAACTTCTAACAAATTCCTCTTGATAGTCTAAGAGGTGTTCTTTCACCTGCGACGTATAACTTGACCTTCAAAATGCCATCTTCGTACTCAAAATTTAAATCTGAAACCGACTCCGTCAAAAATCTCTCAAATTCTTGAAACATTTACCCCTAAATAATCTAAAACTGCAATAACTTTCTCATATAAATTCCGTTTTGTATTTAAATATCACGGTATCTTTATCTCATAATTGCACATAGCAATGCTAGATTTCACCCTCTAATGGCTCTGCAAAAAATAAATAGCGCCCTCTAAAGTTCTGGGAATTGGCTTTCTTTCTGTGGCCGTATCTCCATTATGGCTAGGCAGACCTTTTTTGGATTTAGATACTTGAACATATGCCCTTTCCAACCATATACAAAATGATATACCCTGACACTGACCGAATTTGCGAAAAATGCCCTCCAAATATGCAGTTTACAAGAACATTGAGAAATAACTTCAACTTGCTTTAAAATGGCGATCCTTATACGTACGTAAATGAAACTTGGCAGACACATGTATCCATATACGTGATAACTGTCTGCCAAGTTTGGTAAAATTCAAATATGTCACCGCAAAGATATCGCCACAAATTATGAATTTGCTATGCATTACGTAATAGCGCCTTCAATGCGTGCAGTACATTGCGCGCAGATAACAATGATGTCAAAATGACCGCAATGAAGTGCCCTTTCGAATGATACCAAGTATGGTATATGTTCACACAGATATTTTTTTATAAATCACATTTGAACAAGGGTCACTATACGAATTCCGCCAAGTTTCCGCCCAATTATAACACGTATCGGCTATGACGTCATTTTTTCAGACTGCTTTTCGCCCCCTAAACGTCCGTTTCTTTCCTTAAAATTTTGCAGTGTCATTCCGAGTTGCAATACGCAGGGCACCTCGAGGCCGAATTTTTAAACTTGGTCAAGGGGGGGGGGGCATTTAAGACGCCATTTTGTCCTATAAATCTATTTAAAATCACGTGTTTCGATAGGATTATCATAGAACAAAAGAGAGTTGTTTACAATAACAACTATGAAATTCTCTTTCCAATGATACCAAACACGTCCGATAAAGAAAGAGAAAAACAAAAATTAAAGTCCGGTTATAATACAGATCCTGTACGTTTTTCGCCCATGCATTACACGCATTGTCTATGGGGCAAATCGGGTTCACGCTTCTGAACCCCGGATCGATTTTTATTTTTCTTGAAATTTTACAGGCACATTCTTAGTGGCCAAATGCAGAGCATCAAGAAGCCGGATTTTTAAAATCGGTCAAGCATGACATTAAATGCTACTTCATACTCTGCGTAACTAGTCCGAAAGATGCTCTTTCGTTTGACACGTAAAAACATGGCGTCATTGCGCGCACATCGTTCTGACACGATTGCATTTCTAGTTGAGCTCTGTTTTCAGACCGAAAATGCCTTCAAAGTGTATGGTTATTGCTCCATTTCTTATCTATGACATTTCTAGTGCCCTTTTAGAACCTAAAATTGCTATGAAGGTAATTTTAGACCCCAAAATGTGTGAAATTTGGCCAATACGAACATACCAATTTAGCTCCACTTTCAAAAAAATACGGTGACCGTTAATTAATTATTTAGTTAAAATTAACAATACATGGGCCGGCTGGTTGTGCGTAATATAACCGACACGAAAATGTCAACAAAAGAGCCAGCATCGGCATTGGCTGGAATACGACGTAAAAGGCAGTATTTAATTTTTTCAACGGCTTTTTCAAAAAATGTAATATTTGTGGTGGTACACAAGTATTATAAATTGTTATATTTATATATATTTTAGCCGTCTCTGAACCGATTTTGATCAAACAAAGATGATTTTGTCATTTCAATTGTATGTTCTTTCAGATTTGACACACAGTTTTTCATTATCTCACAACAAATTATTTTGTGTAGCGCCCTCCGCAACAGAACTCAACTATCCCTTTAAGCCGAGACTAGTTAGTCATTGAAAAACGTACTTTCACGTAGAACGTAGGTCGCCTTGTCGTTGTCGATCTCCATGAATCTGTCTTCTTTTTGCTGAAGTATCATTTGCACTTGAAGGGAAGAATCATAGGAATAGACAGGATTCACTCTGAAAGCACTCTCAACGGGAATGACTGGTGTGCGCGAGTTGTCCAAAATTACGCTGAATATGTTCTCCACAACTGGCCGGTTACCTGCATCGAAAATGAACAAAATGTGTGTGCTTGTGGGTTTGTGTGTGTGTGTGTTTGTGTGTGTGTGAAAGAGGGGGGGTTGTAAGATATGCTCATCATGAAAACGCTATATAAGAACTAGCTATTATTATTATCATTATTATTATATCATGCGATTGAAAATATATCTCTTTGACGATCTCTTTTTGTTTTAATCAAGTGTAAAACTTATGGATAATTAAGTAGAAATCTATCAAGGTATCCTTTTTTCTGCCAATCTATTGCACTCTTGCGGTGTCATTCCAATCCATTTCCCCTCCTAGTTATTATTGATTTTCCGTTTTTATAGTATTTCCCCTTTCTTTCCATAACAATTCCCATTATTCTGAAAGCGCTATTGAATTTAAAATGGCGACTCCCATAAAAGGAAACTACAAACTTCAGAGAGATTGTTTTCCTAGATAAGTATTCAGATGAGGGTCATGTTAATGTAGATATTCATTGATTTTAAAAACTAATTTTATTTTCATTATTGCAAAGTTGAAACTTTGATTCGACAAGGTTATCAAAATTCAATGCTTGGAAATATTCGAAGTAATGATTATTATAAATTACGAAACGCTTAAATACAGCCCCGGCATAGTACCTGAAGAGCTCTCTGAACGCTGCTGATGTGTGACATCACAGTATGGACATGATTTGCACAAGCAGACGATGTCCCATGACATCTTACACATTTTGAGTGCCTGTATTTTCATCTTCTCTTGAGTTCTTTCTCTTACCTCACTACCGTCAGGCTAAATGTATAATCTATTTCCTCACTCTAAACCCCGGGCATGGTTTTATTTTGATGACAAAAGCAGCGATACAAAAATAAAGGAATCTGTCGCTTGTATGTTGAACTGGCTCACATTTTTTTCACATACGATTTCGAATAAAGCTTTTTCTTGGGTTTCATTTTTCTTTCATGCACATGACCAAACCAAAAAATCTTAAATGTCAAATAAACGTACGGGGCAGAATAGCTTATGCGTGCCTGTAAATGAAAGCAAAACCATAGTAGTTACTCCAAATGTTTAAACTATCTCCTAATTTTATCTGTTCAAAAGTAAGGAAAAAATTGATGGGCAAGAAGAGAAAAAGAAAATACCCTTTTCGTAGAGATGAAAAGCAAACAGCCACGTTTCCTCCTGTTTCCGCTTAATAACCTAAATTTTGAAGAAAGACTCAAATGGTTAATTTGATAACAAAAGTCTTTATCACGAATCTACAGATTAAGGCCCGAATTCACAAAGCTAGGTTTGAGCTCAGACTAAGGTTTGAGCTCAAACCTCCTTTTGTTTCGCCAAACCTCCTTTTGTTCTTTACAAACCAGGTTTGTAAAAAACGCGTAAAAGGCGTCATATGACGTACGAAAACCAAGGTTTGTCGACAAACCTCCTTTGTGAATTCGGGCCATAGAGTTTTCCTTTCGAAATGATTATAGTGCTATAAGTTCATAGCCCTCTGTTTCCCTTGTTAACTTCAATAAAAACACGAAATAATCGTATCATAATATTGATGATAATGAAAATAGATGAATACAAACAAATGAATATACGATTTAATAAATATTGTCTTTAAAACGAAATTAAATTATTTTAAATGTCTATAAAAATATTAATACTAACGATATTTATAATATAAATAATAATAATTATCATATTAATAATAATGATTATAATACTTTTAAGTTTAATGATAATAATAGAAATAAATATAATGATAATAATATTAGCAATAAAAAATCATAATTTTAATCATTATAATAACAACGATCTTAGTAAATAATAATGCCCGAAAAAAGATCAATCAATCACTCTGATAACGACGATAATACAAATATACTGTAAATCAACTAACAATAATGTGAATTAGTGAGAATAGTAATGAGAATATGGTAACAATTGTCTTTAGATAGTTAAAATGTATTCTTACCAAACCAATCTGAGTGCCAATATCTGAGAAACATTCTAGAACTGCTAGTTGGTTAGCACTGCTTATGTCTGACTGCAGGTTATTGATGCTTAGTAGTTCATCACAGTTTCTGCAATGACGTAATGGGAGGAGATACATCAGGCAAAACAAAAAAATCATTTGGTTGTCCTCGACCGCCTACTCGTCATTTTCGGGCTCTCTATTTTTTATATATTTTTTTATTTGTTCAATATATATAATATATATATATATATTTTTTTTTTGGTGGTGGATGGGGGGGGGGGGGGAGCAATGTTAAATGACAAACATACCATTTCATGCATTTTGCAAGGATCAAAATGCGTCCCGTTGCCAGTTTAGTCTTTTCAGTACGCAATTCGGTATTTATTAAACTTGCCATTATTATTTTCCTTTGTCAAAATGACGTTCATTCAAATCAGATTCTGAGCATTCTTAAACTCATTTTAAAGCTCAATCTGTACTAGTTTACAGGAGGGATTTGACCACCCTGCAAGGTCACTGGGCAGGTGGTTATCTCAATCATCTCTCAGTTAACATAAGATAAAGAGGATCATGGGGGACCAATGGTCATCGATTAGGCATTGTTTGCTATATAGAGGGCGCAAGTAGCTATAAGTAGTCCAGTGGGGAATTAAAAGGTGCTGTATTTCAAAGCCAAAGTACTTTCTGTGTTGGTCTTGATATTCATAGTACATTAAACCAGTCTTTTCCCATATTTAAGTGTTTTATAGACTTTGTTTGTTTAAATCCTTGACATCCCAATGATTTTTGATTTTGTTATGGAAAAATATTTATAAAAAAAAAATCAAACAAAAGTGGGGTGGGGGGAAATTCAAAGAAAGACAAACAAAAATGAAATTAAAACAACAAACAACAAAAAAATCCGCCCGCCCGCCCCTACTGCAGAGAAGCAATCGAGGACAATCAAATGATTTTTGTGTTGGCCTTATGGCGAGACAAGCCTTGCTTCCTTCAAAGAAGACGAAAGACTCCATGCATGGCTGATCATCAACGAAACGGAGTTAAGTCTTTTGTCAACTCTGTTTGTCGCTACGGCAGGCAACCAGTGAAAACGAATTCGTTTCATGGAAACACAAACATTGCTTTAAACAAACATGACTTTGTTTTTCCTGGCTCATTTTTCCTGATTGAAGTGTCATATGTAGGGGCAAAAAGTGAACCTTTTAGAAATTTAATTTTCTCTTTAAAATTCATGTCGCCCGCCAAATGACTTTTTTGGTACCCTTTCTTTAAATTGTTTTTAATCACTCTTGCTTGAAATATGCATCATATGAGTTGCGTCAAATGAAAGAGAAGGATCTAAGCTTTACAAATATGTGTCATTAATAATTGTGATTAAGTTATGATAAAACATCGATAATTCTCAGTTTCGTTTTTTTCTGGGACGCACTGTATATATAAAATTATATAGACATATACATTATTTACATAATATATACCTGGTACGTTTTATTTTCATCATTGGGGCCTATAACTCACAATCATAGCTTTCATTAGAGCCAGAGATCCCTCAATTTATCACTCTTCGTTTTAGTTCAGGCTATTAATTTAGTGTGTTCAAACAAAGTGATATGAGGTACTTTTTGTAACGTTTTTGTTAATATAATTCTCTTTTATTTGTATCATTCATTTCGTGAAATCATGATTGCCAAATGTGAAATATATGTGAAATATGAGACAGGAAACTGAAAATAAAATTGAATTAAAAAGTTATAAAACCTATTTACCTCAACCCAACAGTTCTTGCCAGCCCGGTCCCATCTAGGGCCCTGAACTCATGACCACCCTGACGAGAATAAAGAAGTGCTCCAAACTCCGTGAGAGAAAGAGGTTTACCAGGAATATACTGGACAAAGATCTCCCGAAACGCACGCCCATGTGAAGATTCGATCTGAAAATGTAAACAATAAAATAGATATTCAGTAGGTTTACCGTTGCACCATTTTAAAAAGAAGGGGGGGGGGAGTGGTTAGTCAGGAAAAGGAGTACTGTCGGTAAGCCTTTATTCTCGAGTGTATGTGTGTAATGTAAACTTTATTTCTTGAGTGTATGTGTGTAATGTAAACTTTCTTTCTTGAGTGTGTGTGTGCAGTGTACTCTTTTTTCTTGAGTGTGTGTGTGTAGTGTAAACTTTCTTTCTTGAGTGTATGTGTGTAGTGTAAACTTTCTTTCTTGATTGTGTGTGTAGTGTAATCTTTTTTTCTGTGGTGTGTGTGTGTGTGTGTAGTTTATACTTTCTGTTAGAGATAGAGAAAGCGAATGCTCAATAGTACCTGGAGGGTCGGTGATTCAAAGGGAATGAGGGATGTCTCCAGCTGGCAAATATGTAAAAGGGGTCGTCTCCCTCCCCCCAGATATATTTAAAAATCGCTAAAAAAAAATCGTCTAAATTAACGATCTGTCTCAGCCAATTTAGAGGACGAAGAAACGACTGAGGACAAAACAGTTGAAAATACAGAATGCTAATTTTCTGGCGCGGTCGCTGGACTCCCTCGGAGAAAAAAAAAAAAGGATTTTTGAAAGTTCATCGGTTGAAAGTCGCTAACGCAGTGCTACGTCAGGGAAATGACGCTTCGTTTGGAGCAGAATAACAAACAAATAAAGTACGACCACGGAGGATCGATTCGTGGTTTCTCTTTACTTCCTCCTTCCTTTAGGCGACCTTCCTCTTTCCTGTTGTTGTTCTAATTTAGTTTTATGACACAGGTGCATACAGCCAGACTAATTACACATGGAGTAATGATAGAGGACCTTGTACGGGACTGCAACTTAAGGTCAAGGTTGGGTTCAAAATATTCTCGCTTTTGTAAGCTTGGGAAACGCCCCCTGCCTACCAGGCTAACGCATCAAGGGAGATGCTGTGAGGGTAGAGGGGGGGGGATATTAATATATAAGCATATATATTTATATGTATTCATCGCTATCGGTGAATACAGAGATTGAAATATATCTATTACACTTTCAACGCTATCATATTCCCACTCTCTCTTCACGTTTTTGTTTGTAACTTTGGGCCTTTAGCTATTCACCGCAGTTCTTACCGCAGTGTTATTACTCCATACAACTACTGTTTCTTGATTGCTTACTTACAAACATACACAGGCTATCTAAACAAACAGACAATAAAACAAGCAAACAAACAAACTCTACCGTTATTGGTCATCATGTATTGAAGGAAAACAAGGTCTTCCCGGTCACTTACGGTTTCAACAGCACTTTACCGGGGTGATTACCGCCGTGTTGCGGTCACCTACACCGCGTTTTCCTCTGTTCATAGGAGAAATATGTTTGTGCTGACTTAACAGAATTAAAACTCGTTGACCTACCACTTACCATCCCTTCACCATCATGAGGTTCACAGGGCGTCTTCTTCTCTGTTGCGGTTGTAACCGCGGCTTCCTCGTGTGCGTTACTCGCCTTGACCACTTTTTTCGGCTCTGTCTGCGTCGAAGCTTCGGAACTCTCAGTGTAATCTCCACGCGTGTTTGAATCAACTCTCTCTGGCTTGGTGGACTGCCCAGCTTGACTTTGATCACCCGACGCTAACGGTTCCACTTTGGGAGCGACCCCCGACTGTTGGGTTGAAGATCCCGCACTACGCTTTTTCGATGCTTTTCCCCCATAGTGAATTTTGCTTCTATGCTCTTATTTTGGAAGTCGAAGATAAAGTTTTGCGAGCCTTCCTGTTCAATAAACGTGTAGCAACACCTTCAATAAGCCAGTTGTCAATTTTTGCGAATTGATTAATGTTGTAATCACTGTTAGATAACGCATCGACCAATGCAAAGAAAGGGTCAGGCCTAGCTACCTTGCATCAGTGCACGCAAATGATTTTCCTTTGAATCGGGATCCAAAACATTTACACAGCATCTCCTATTCCTACTTATACGCTATATATTTCTTTTTCACTTGACTTTATGCGAGTATGAATATTTGCTTGCACAACCAGTGAACCATTTCCAAATAAATAACAAAAGAAAAGCCTAGCTACGTACCTAGCTATCAAGGCATTTTCTCTCTCGCTTTTTTTTTTTGTCTCTCTCTGTCTCTTTCTCTCTGTCTCTCTCTCTCTCTCTCTATCGCTTTCTTACCCCTTCTCTGTCTGTGTCTCTCTCTCTATCTCCGTCTCTCTCTCTCTCTCCCTGCTGCTCTATCACTTCTTTTCTTCATTTGTTTTTCTATTCTATAAATACATTGCTGTTTCTCTTATATTCTCACTGCATGTCTTTGTAGCACCTCTGTTATTTTCCCGGACCCCCTCTCTCTCTTTCTCTCTCTCCCATCTCTCTCCATCTCTTCTTCCTTTCGTATTTTCTCTATGATTTGTTCTGTCTCCCTCCAACTACCACCTTGCATTCACACCCTTTTTGTTCTTTCCCTCTCTCTCTCTCTCTCTTTCTTCCTTTATATTGTTCTGTCTGCTTTTCCCCCTTCACCTCTCTCTCTCTCTTGTCTTATTTAACTTTCTTATATCTCTACTATGTTCCCCTCTTTCTCTGTATTTAAAAAAAAAAATCTCTCTCTCTCTCTCTCCTCCTACCACTTACCCCACTTACCCCTCCCCCTCTCTCTCTCTCTCTCTCTCTCTTTCACTCCCCATCTCCTCAACCCCCCCCCCACAGGCAAACAATGACAATTAATGTAAACGGAGTTAACCTTTGTACTCTGGCATACTGCGTTACAGACATTGATTCGTGAATGCATTGATGTTTCCTCTTATTTTTGTTTAAATTTGTACTCCAGTACTAACCTATTCAGAGCAAACTATTTCACTCACCGGAAAAAAAAATACAGGCATAATCTACCTACCTTTTATTTAATGGGAAAGAATAACTCTGGAAAAAATTGAAATCGGATGGAAAGGAGGGGGGGGGGAGGGGGGGGGGGTATTTATCCCCCAAGGAATAGAAATGATTACTCCTCTTTACGAAAGGGGGTCGATCCCCAAAATTAATTCCCTACCCTCTTTTTACAAATCCTCTTCAAATACCTGTTATTAGGTTTTTAACGATAGACATCGAATTACTTTCTAAGACATGGGAGAGAAGAGAGAAACAATAATACAAAGAGTATATTTCATTATTTTAGCAATATCTATCTTGTTAAAGAAGTATTTAAGCGATTATTCAGAGAAATTTTTAAAATTAAACCGCGGGTCTGATATAAAGATCGTATAAACACTTTTTTATTTAAAGTTTTACCTTAAGATTTTTTATTTTTTTAGTTTTTGAGGCCGCTTTCCTTGTCAAGCTTTGCTTATGATTCTAACAGAATAGTTCGGATAATACTTTAAATTTATGATAATATGTTATGGAAATATTAAGTTTCGTTATTGTATGTACATAATATGTAAAAGAAAAATGCAGAAATAAAATAATATCAAAATAAAAAATAGATAAATTGATAACAACGGGATCAAATGAAGAGCTTGGTTCCAGAAGGTACTACACCCATTTATTTTAATTTTCTAATGTTTGCATCAATATAGAGGAACCCGGGGCTAAGTGGAATGCGGGGCAAAGTGAAACACGCCCGGTAATTTTGTTTATGCTCCCATACATCTAAGTTCATGTGCCAATAACACCAACTGCAACGAGGATGCATCGTTTGTGACCGGAGTTGCGCGAATACGTCAGTTATGTGTACTTTTTACGGAAAATGTCCGTTTTTCATACATAAAAAAAAACGATAATTAGTAGAAGTATAATTATTATCTGCTAAAATACTGTGTTCATGCCAAATTATTACCTACACATTATCAGTAGCCTCATACACTGACACTTCCAAAGAGCTGAATTTCCAAAAAGGAAGTTTATAAATGGCATTTTAAAAATCATTTCGGTTCCAAAAGGTACTAAATCGATTCAAGTCAAGCATTGTTACCCGAGTATAGTATGCAATATTTCGTTGACAAGTTGACAAATAAAATGTGAATGTACACAACCTTATGTAACCCGAATGTCACAATTTCCCAGGTCCATAAATAAAGAAATTACACTTGAGGTTACGTTTTAACAAAATAACCTGGCAATGCCTTTATTAGCTCGTTGTCAATAACAACTGCAAATCAAGTAAACATTGAAATAAACAAAACTTCCACAACTTACAACTATAACATTATAAGGTATTATAACTTATAACTAAACCAACTATTATCTAAATATTAAAGTAACCAAATTATTAAATGTTCATGAACTCGCTCGCGATACGCGGTTGATCAATATATCCGGCGTCTCTGGGTCGTTGAAGAGGACGTCGCAGCACGCAGAACACAGGAACAAGTTGAACGATAACTTGAAGCTTGATGAATTTCATCAATTAAAAGACCCTAGTAAAAGATCCGCCTAGAAAAAGATCCGCCTAGTAAAAGATCCGCCTAGTAAAAGATCCGCCTAGTAAAAGATCCGCCTAGTAAAAGAGCCAACACTTGCTTGCAATATAAAATCAGGAACTGGGATGATAACCATGCAACTCAAAAAGGTTGAAGTTGGATGAAATGCCCAATCAAATATAACACAGGAAACTCTCTTAAAACTTAGAGAAACTTGAAGAAGGTAAAGTTGATATATACGTTTTGTATATATATATATATTTTGAAGAAGAAAATCAGGTAGAGGCTACAGATATATTTAGTAGCACATGCTCCAACATGGAGATTGAATATATACAGGGCAGTGTTCGAAGCAATGGCAGCTGGGCAGAGAATGAGCTGGAAACTTAAAGTTTCAAAGTTTTATTAAACTGTCCAGACCCACATTACCCTTCCTTCCAACTAGACTTCTTATTGGTTACCTAACATCATGTGATAGGACCAAGCTTGCATCCTTTACTAAAACGACCCATCCTTTGTCTCAAACCCAATACTCCAAGCCAGCTCTCTACAGCATGGTCTAAAAGCTCGTCTTTTCTTAGTACAACCACTTAAAACTATACTTCTCCTGAATACAGAGATTAACAGTAGCAACATCCTGAAGGGACACAATCTACCTGCAAACACCACTTAAGTAAAGAGGGTCCTATTAAAGGGAATAGACAAAGGGGAAAGGGCACCGAATTCTGTGGGAGACAATATAATCCCAAACACTGTGTCCAGTGTTATTGATGGTCAAAGCCCTAGCAAGTAAGTTATCTACCAGCAATAGTTTTTAAACTGGGAGAAGAAAATAATCTGGGTGAGAACAAACCTATATTGCACTAAACTGCATAAGGAGCACAAAGCAGAGTTTGTTTCTTAGAAGTATGAGATGAAATGAATGGATACAAAGAGAGAGAGAGAGAGAGAGAGAGAGAGACAAGAGAGAGAAAAAGAGAGAGAGAGAGAGATAGAGATAGAGATACTTAGGAAAAGAATAAATAACAAAATATGATTTTAGTAACTGCCATTTTTATGGGGGTTACATCCTCCCTCCTCAAACCCTGTTCACTCCGTGAACATAAGTAAAAGTTAGACAATATCTAAAATCCAAAAATCTTCTGCCTTAACCCAGCGAATAACCTAGAGGAGGTAGCCGATCTTGTCAGAGGATCGCCCAAATCGCTATATACCATGCGCTGCGGCGGCTTAGAAGAGCGCGTTGAGCGTCGGATGGATTGCGGCTCGGGCTCTGCGTCTACAGCACCAGGTTCGATGTCTGGTAAGACAGCAGGTACATTGCTAGAAACAAAAGGATTCTCAAGAGATACATTACTTATTTGATCGACGGGGTCAGCACCCATTTCTTCGCCATCAGTATTCTCCCTCCTCAGAATCTGGTCCCCGTAACCTACCTCTTCGGCCCTCTGCTGGGGCTCTATCAGTTCAGGAGCTTCATTCAAGGGAAATAAGACTTCTTCATCACTTTCGATCATACTTACTGCAGGACTGCCATCTTGGATACTTCCTTCATCACTTTCATCTTCCACTATAATGGGAGATGGGATCTCAGGAATGGGCCTTACCCTATCTGGGACAAACTCAGGGGCATCCACACGGAGGCCAGGGGCAGGTGGCATCTCTGGGAAAAGTAGAGCGACACTCTCATCATCCGAGGCAGATTCATCACTTGAGTGACTCGGTTCGGCGGCTAGAACCTGTTTGGATCTAGTCCGATGTGATGGACCTTTACGGACTCTTTGCACAATGGGGGAAAAAGTCTCATTAAAATACTCAATTGGTAGGAGGAGATTTCTATGGAGGGTTCGTTCTCGACCTTCTCCATTCTCCGGCTTTACCTTATAAACAGGCATGTCTGGATTGATACGCCGTACAACAATTTGTGGCTCTCTAAACCACTTGTCGGCTAGCTTGTGTTTGCCAGTCAGACCGACATTTCTCACAAGCACTCTGTCTCCTGTCTGGAGATCATTTTCTCGCACCTTAGCATCGTACCTTCTCTTGTTGGCCTCGGCCGACTTGTCTGACGCCTCAGATGCAAGCTTGTAAGCACGAGCGAGTTGTTCACGAAGTCCCTGGACATACTGAACGTGATCCGTGCCACTATGGTTGTCTGGACTCGTGCCAAAGCGCAAATCAACAGGTAGTCTAGCTTCCCGACCAAACATCAAAAGGTATGGGGAAAAACCAGTGCTATCATGCTTTGAACAATTGTACGCATGCACTAATGCACTAACGTACTTGCTCCAGTTTTGTTTCTTCTCTTCCTCTAGGGTCCCTAGCATACCTAGTAAAGTTCGGTTGAACCTTTCGGGTTGGGGGTCACCTTGAGGATGATATGGGGTGGTCCTTGACTTTTGAACTCCAAGGAGCCTGGTCAGTTCATATATAACTTTGCTCTCGAAGTCTCTGCCTTGATCGGAGTGAAGGCGTTGAGGCAAGCCATAATGTACGAAAAAGTTCTCCCATAAGACCTTAGCCACAGTCTTAGCAGTCTGGTCTTTTGTTGGGAAAGCTTGCGCATAGCGAGTGTAGTGGTCAGTTACCACTAGTATTGACTTTTTGTTAGAGCGGTCTGGCTCTAAGGACAGAAAATCCATGCAGACCAGCTCCAACGGACTCGTCGTCTTGATACTAACCAGTGGTGCTGATGGATGCTGATGTGATTTTCTTGCCACGCAACGGGGACAGTGCTTCACCCACTCTGTTATTTCGGCACTCATCTTGGGCCAGTAGAACCTGTCCCTAGCAAAGGCTATTGATCTTTCAATGCCCAGATGACCCACCTCATCATGGATGCCTCTCATAGCTTGCCTCCGGCTACTTGAGGGCAGGACGAGCTGGTAATGAGTCTTCCCAAGGGAATCTAAGAAAGACCTATAGAGGATGCCTTGCCTCAGCACGAGCCTATCAAATTCACGGAGCATGAGCTTAGCATCACGAGGTACACCATCCAACGAAGAGGGTTTCTTACCTTGCTCTACATGACTCCGGACCAGGTTCACGATTTGGTCTGCATTTTGTGCCTGAGACCAGTCTACCTTGTTTAGGTCTGAGCCTTTTGCATAAAGGCTGGGAATGGACTCGGCACTTGCACAAAGGGTCTCTATCATAGGTACATGTTTATGGGTGACCTTAGGTATGGGGCCTACTTCTGTCTTGGGGACAGCCTCGTACCGCTGGTACAGGGCACTGATGGCTTCCTGGGGGCAGATTACATCGGCGTCATCCCTGAGCCGTGCCTCCAGGTCACTCAGCTTCCACTTTTGGCGCTGTTCGTATTCCTCGTCCAAGGCGGGGTTTTGAGGCTTGCGAGACAGTGCGTCGGCTTCAATATTTGCCTTACCTGGCTTATAGTGGATGGAGAAATCGAAACATGAGAGTGCAGCCAACCACCGATGGCCTGTGGCGTCGAGTTTGGCTGAGCTTAGTATATATGTTAGCGGATTATTATCTGTCATAATTCGCGTACCCTTAGCTCCATACAGATACTCACGGAACTTGTCTGTAACTGCCCATTTAAGGGCTAAGAACTCCAGCTTGTGAGCTGGGTAGTTCTTCTCACTTGCTGATAATCCTCGGCTGCCGTATGCAACCGGGCGGAGCTTTCCTTCATGCTCCTGGTATAGGACACCACCCAGACCGTCACGACTCGCATCAACATGCAAAACAAAGGGTTGTGACAGGTCTGCGAAGGCAAGCACTGGGGCAGAAACAAGTAGTTTCTTAAGTGCGTGGAACGCATCCTCACACTCACTTGTCCAGAGGTCACTAATGGAATCATTAGCTCGTCTAGCATTAGGGTCAGGCTGCCTATTGGGAGGTGGCTGCCCTCTCTTCTTTGGGTATACACACCCAATAGTGAGAGCATTCAGTGGGCGTGATATTTTGGAGTAGTCCTTGATGAATCGCCGATAGTATCCTGCAAATCCTAAGAAAGACTTTACTTGCCTGATAGTTTCTGGTCTAGGCCACGTTGCGAGGTCTGCTACCTTGTCTGGGTCTGTCTGCACTCCCTCTGCCGAGACTACATGACCTAGATACTTGACCGACTCACAACAGAATTGACACTTCTCAGGGGATGCCTTCAAGCCAAATTCATTCATCCGATCAAGCACTCTACCCAGGCGCTCCTCCATCTCTTCCAGCGTCTTAGAGAAAATGATGAGGTCGTCCATGTACACAAGTACCTCCATCATGTTTAAACCTGACATGCACTTCTCCATCAAACGCTGGAAAGTGGCCGGGGCCCCTTTTACACCCTGGGGCATTCGCTCGAACTGGTAGAAGCCTAGAGGACAGATGAAGGCTGTCTTTTCTTTGTCCTCTTCACGCATGGGGATCTGATAAAAACCTGACTTCAGGTCTATCACCGAGAACCATTTATTTCCATTAAGGCAATCAATGGCCTCTTGAATCAGAGGGACTGCATACTGGTCAGGAATCGTGCGTGAATTGAGGGTGCGGTAGTCTACGCACATTCTCAAACTCCCATTTTTCTTGCGAACAAGAACAATTGGAGAAGCGTATGGACTTCGAGACTCTTTGATTACTTTGTGGTCAAGTAGCTGCTGCAGATGTTGTTGCAGATCCTTCAAGTCTGAAGGGGCTACCCTCCTAGATCTCTCCCTGAATGGCGTGCTGTCGTTGACGTTGATCTGATGCTCAGCATAGGCAGAGCATCCCAGGTCAAAGTCATGCCTGGAGAACACAGTTTTCCTCCGCCTACACTGGTGTAGAAGACGTTCCTTCCATTCAGGGGTTATGGGGCCCCAACTGATAGGGAGGTCCGCAACATCGATATCATGTGGAATGGTGGTGCCCATTTCTGCGTTTGTAGAAGAAGATGATGCATGGATAGCATTAGTAGAGCCCTGATTGGGAGGTTGGCGGCACCACTCTGGGATGAATAGATCAGCCAGTGGGCAGTTCCCAGGGATAGTGATTTGCTTTGAGCTCTTATTGACAAGTAGAACTTCGACCTTACAAAAAGCTTCCCCAGGGACCTCAACTACCGAGGGTATCACTTCTAAGCCCTTTGCTAACCTAGCTGGGGAATGGGATTCAATGACCGCAGTCGCTGGTGCCCGGAGTGTGTTTCTACATTGACCTATTATGGTATGACGGCTATGAGGTGGAATATGAACTTTGTGTCCTTTTCTTGTTCTGATAGTGCCGAGTTTACCATCGGCAGGGAGTGTCTGTTTCTTAGAGAGAGAAGAGTAGATGTCTTTACAAAAAGGACTTATTTGCAAAGTTTGTGCAAATCGAACCCCAGCTAACCTCTTACATGACTCAAAGCAATTACGGAAAAGACCGGAATTTGTCCCTATAACTACTGAATGGTTTCTTTGATGCTTAGCATCCGGCACTACTAGGGCTAGAGTACTGAATTGGGTCCCTGTCCCGCTAAACGCCTTGTCAAATCCTATGTTAACATAGGCATAGCCTAAGTAGGGTAAGGTTCCGTCACCGCCATGATAGAGCACTAGATCCCTCATAGAATGCAACTCACGATCGAGCTTATCGAATAAACTTTTCTGAATGAGTGTCACCTGTGAGCCGCTATCTATAAGAGAAGTAGTCTCTATCCCATCCACCCAGCACTTCTGGGTGATACTGTCCCCAACCAGTCCTGGGGGAACATCGCATACCTGTTGGGGTGCTGTACTTAAGTGGACTCCTGGTCTCCCCTTACCAGGCGTCCTTTGGCGTTTCCCTGCTTGCCTAGGATAAATTGGATCAATTTCTTGTTGATGGCTTCAGGGGCAGCTGGGCTGTTGCATATTCTACTTATATGCCCTACCTCCCCACACTTGAAGCAAATGACCTCAGATGTGTTGCCATGTGGCCTGGGAGGAGGCGGCCTGTGAGGAGTCTGCTGGATTGGGGTGGATTCAGAGGGGATAGAAGTACGAGAAATTTGGACTGGTTGAACTGGGGCCTCCACACGGTTATGTGCGGCGGCACGCTTACCTGCGTCTACTCTTTGTCTCGGCTGGGTGAGGCTGGCCTTCATGGAGTCTTCTTCCTCCTGCTTCCTTACAGAGGATAATAACTGCAGAAATGAAGGAGGGTGGGATAATTTATCGCGGAGTTGTAAGTTGATCAGGAGCATCTCATTATACAAGATGCCTCTGATAAACTGCTTTAGTCTTACCTGATTGGAGTCTGTAGGTTTTACTACTCCACGCCTCACAACCTGCCTCAGTATCTCCTGCAAGCGAGAAAGATATTCGGAGGGTCGCTCGCCCTCGAGCTGCGTGGTATTATGGAATTTGACGAACAGCTCGTCGTCAGTGTTCGTGTCCCCATAGGCCAAATCTAAGGCCTTGAGGTACTCATACGAATCTGCGTGGGGAAGCTCACGGCGGAGGTCACTAATGATGCTTGACGCCGGAGGGCGCAGCGCCTCGCGAATGCGCTTTCGGCGCTCGCCATCTCCGAGATCCTGCCACTCATCCATCTGACCCTCAACGTGCTCTATCCACAAAGGATAGGTGTCCTCATCGCGCGCGGGGTTCCTCGCGCCTGAGAAACAGCGCAATTTTCTGTAGTTTGTTGTAAGCGCGCATCTTGATAATGACGCAGACAACGAAGGGACTTCCCGGTCTAAGTTATTTGTGGCTGGGCTAGGGCTAGGGGAAACATTTTCTTTCTTGGAAACCTCTTCTTTAAGGAGTGCGGCTTCTTTAGCTTTCTTCCATTCGTCTACCAACCCACTATCCTTTAAGTCCTTAATGTTTACCCTACCTTCTTTCGAGGGGTCCCTATCTTCCAACCTAACTACCTGGCACACTGTGTCCCCATCTACGGAAATGTGTATCTCCCTCCCTACACCTACAATGGGAGAGGCTCCCTCAAACATACAAAGTATCAATGTTTCATTATTAGTTGGCTCATTCTTTCTGAGTACCCCACTTAATGTGGGAAATCGATCCGAAATTGCCAGGGCAAATACCTCATCAGGCATTGCCATTGTTGGTGTCACAAGTAGGAGGGCATTATCTGCCGTTATTCCCTCCTCCTTGCACCACTCCTGCCCAAATTCTTTCAAACTGTTCGCTGCCATTGCTTCTACTAACTTGTGCAAGTGTTGGCTCTTAAACTCTTAACTATAATGACGAAGACAATTACAATGCCTTCAACGATGTATAATACTAATTGCTTACACTAGCAATTAAAACTTAATAAGCGGAGAATATTAATTAATTACAAGGTAATTATAAAGTATCTATCAAATAAGTAATATTAATTATGCATATATGCAAATTTAGCTCCCGGACAAGCCCCCAATTTATGTAACCCGAATGTCACAATTTCCCAGGTCCATAAATAAAGAAATTACACTTGAGGTTACGTTTTAACAAAATAACCTGGCAATGCCTTTATTAGCTCGTTGTCAATAACAACTGCAAATCAAGTAAACATTGAAATAAACAAAACTTCCACAACTTACAACTATAACATTATAAGGTATTATAACTTATAACTAAACCAACTATTATCTAAATATTAAAGTAACCAAATTATTAAATGTTCATGAACTCGCTCGCGATACGCGGTTGATCAATATATCCGGCGTCTCTGGGTCGTTGAAGAGGACGTCGCAGCACGCAGAACACAGGAACAAGTTGAACGATAACTTGAAGCTTGATGAATTTCATCAATTAAAAGACCCTAGTAAAAGATCCGCCTAGAAAAAGATCCGCCTAGTAAAAGATCCGCCTAGTAAAAGATCCGCCTAGTAAAAGATCCGCCTAGTAAAAGAGCCAACACTTGCTTGCAATATAAAATCAGGAACTGGGATGATAACCATGCAACTCAAAAAGGTTGAAGTTGGATGAAATGCCCAATCAAATATAACACAGGAAACTCTCTTAAAACTTAGAGAAACTTGAAGAAGGTAAAGTTGATATATACGTTTTGTATATATATATATATTTTGAAGAAGAAAATCAGGTAGAGGCTACAGATATATTTAGTAGCACATGCTCCAACATGGAGATTGAATATATACAGGGCAGTGTTCGAAGCAATGGCAGCTGGGCAGAGAATGAGCTGGAAACTTAAAGTTTCAAAGTTTTATTAAACTGTCCAGACCCACATTACCCTTCCTTCCAACTAGACTTCTTATTGGTTACCTAACATCATGTGATAGGACCAAGCTTGCATCCTTTACTAAAACGACCCATCCTTTGTCTCAAACCCAATACTCCAAGCCAGCTCTCTACAGCATGGTCTAAAAGCTCGTCTTTTCTTAGTACAACCACTTAAAACTATACTTCTCCTGAATACAGAGATTAACAGTAGCAACATCCTGAAGGGACACAATCTACCTGCAAACACCACTTAAGTAAAGAGGGTCCTATTAAAGGGAATAGACAAAGGGGAAAGGGCACCGAATTCTGTGGGAGACAATATAATCCCAAACACTGTGTCCAGTGTTATTGATGGTCAAAGCCCTAGCAAGTAAGTTATCTACCAGCAATAGTTTTTAAACTGGGAGAAGAAAATAATCTGGGTGAGAACAAACCTATATTGCACTAAACTGCATAAGGAGCACAAAGCAGAGTTTGTTTCTTAGAAGTATGAGATGAAATGAATGGATACAAAGAGAGAGAGAGAGAGAGAGAGAGAGAGACAAGAGAGAGAAAAAGAGAGAGAGAGAGAGATAGAGATAGAGATACTTAGGAAAAGAATAAATAACAAAATATGATTTTAGTAACTGCCATTTTTATGGGGGTTACACTTATATTGAGCGTAACATGAAAATGGAGAGGGCGCTGTCCAAGTGAACCTTCGTACATATTTGATCACACACAATATGCCTCTGAATAACCTGTATGAACTAAATATGCGAATGTAAGAAGGGCACTTTGGTCACTTGATTGTGACGTATGTACGGAAAACATTCACGTTTGCCGTATACGAAAGTAGTGTAGCGGCTCTTACATTCGCCCTCCTTTCATCGTACATTCATGTTCACAGTATTTTTCCATCTTTTTTCCATCATGCTATTGATTTATATGCATTATTCGGACCACGTGTGTTTTTCCTTCCAATCACGCATCGTGGTTCCGCACTGTTCACCCCGCGTATTTTCAACTCCACGAGGTTTTTCTCCACTCCCGCTTTCACCTTGGTCGAGTCACGACGTCTCCATAATTTCCTCTCCAGGCTTCATTCTACTGTGCCCATTTCGTCTTCCACGGCACGTCAACTCTTCTTCTGCCGTGTTCATCGGGCTGCAGTCTCCCAGTGGAACGTTATAGTCAGCACCGACATGGCGCCTGACTCTCCGCTGGGAGCTGCCAGTTTCTTCGTTCCGGTAGCTCTTTCCACTCTCGAGCTCAGACATTTTACCGCAGCTCATCTAAACATCAAATTCCTGGTCATTCATCGAGCGACTCACTGCTCTTCTTAACTACCAGCTTTGCATGTCTACCTTTCTACTCTTGGCCTCCGCCAGCGAACGATCCACTGTTCTGATATTTCGAGCGCCGCTTTTCTTCTCTTCTATTCTCGCCTGAGAGCTTCATCATTTTCATCACGAGCGTCTGCGTCGAGATTCTTCACGGCTCTTCAGCCACGACAACGAAGCTTTACATCTCCGCCTCTTCAAGCCTCCGCACATTTCATCGCGTGAGCCCCTTCCTTCGTTTCTCAACTCTCTTCATCTTCATTGGACTTTCGATGTTATTTCTATGCAGTCGTAAGCTTTTATTCATGTCCATTCCATTTATTAATGTTCATTCTCATCTTTGATCACTATGTAATCCCCGTGCAATATTCACATTTTCAAGTCTGCTATATTTGCTTGACTGCACTTTGCAAGTGCAATGTCAGCTTTGTTCAGTACCCAATAAATTAACGAAAAGGGAATACTTTCTTTCTTGTATTTTATTGTCAGTGCAACCTTGCTTCCTCGTAGCTAAAATAAAAATAAGAGTTATGTTGTGTGACGAGTGAAAACGCTTTCAAATTTCCATTCACAATACCTAACACACACCTAATCTCTACATTGGTGACCCCGACGTGATACTTGGAAGCTTGGTTGTACGATTTTATTATTCCCTGACTTTTTGGACTTAACAATCATAAAATGTATTCATTCTGGATTTGTTATCGAATGTTTTTATGGTCTTGCATTTGTACGCGTTTATTCGATGCATACCATGTCATTCATTACTGTCTATTTTTGGCAACTAAACAGCTATTCGCATACCATGCTTGTTGTTTACATTTTTTTCAACATGCCATGCTTGTACATTTCTTAGGCTGCTGTAAATTACTGCATACACTATACAATACATGCACTTTTACATTTTTGTCAGCCATTGATTCTTGTGACATTTTGTACTTTGCTCATTTATATATTATCGCCTCTCATCTGTGTATTGCATACGCAGCTTCGATTCTGGCAGGTGAGTAATGTAGCGGCTCTTACATTCGCCCTCCTTTCATCGTACATTCATGTTCACAGTATTTTTCCATCTTTTTTCCATCACGCTATTGATTTATATGCATTATTCGGACCACGTGTGTTTTTCCTTCCAATCACGCATCGTGGTTCCGCACTGTTCACCCCGCGTATTTTCAACTCCACGAGGTTTTTCTCCACTCCCGCTTTCACCTTGGTCGAGTCACGACGTCTCCATAATTTCCTCTCCAGGCTTCATTCTACTGTGCCCATTTCGTCTTCCACGGCACGTCAACTCTTCTTCTGCCGTGTTCATCGGGCTGCAGTCTCCCAGTGGAACGTTATAGTCAGCACCGACATGGCGCCTGACTCTCCGCTGGGAGCTGCCAGTTTCTTCGTTCCGGTAGCTCTTTCCACTCTCGAGCTCAGACATTTTACCGCAGCTCATCTAAACATCAAAGTCCTGGTCATTCATCGAGCGACTCACTGCTCTTCTTAACTACCAGCTTTGCATGTCTACCTTTCTACTCTTGGCCTCCGCCAGCGAACGATCCACTGTTCTGATATTTCGAGCGCCGCTTTTCTTCTCTTCTATTCTCGCCTGAGAGCTTCATCATTTTCATCACGAGCGTCTGCGTCGAGATTCTTCACGGCTCTTCAGCCACGACAACGAAGCTTTACATCTCCGCCTCTTCAAGCCTCCGCACATTTCATCGCGTGAGCCCCTTCCTTCGTTTCTCAACTCTCTTCATCTTCATTGGACTTTCGATGTTATTTCTATGCAGTCGTAAGCTTTTATTCATGTCCATTCCATTTATTAATGTTCATTCTCATCTTTGATCATTATGTAATCCCCGTGCAATATTCACATTTTCAAGTCTGCTATATTTGCTTGACTGCACTTTGCAAGTGCATTGTCAGCTTTGTTCAGTACCCAATAAATTAACGAAAAGGGAATACTTTCTTTCTTGTATTTTATTGTCAGTGCAACCTTGCTTCCTCGTAGCTAAAATAAAAATAAGAGTTATGTTGTGTGACGAGTGAACACGCTTTCAAATATCCATTCACAATACCTAACACACACCTAATCTCTACAGTAGTAATAAATGTTTTTCTCAAAAGTGCCTTCTTCCTTGCGGCACTACATCAAAGTGGAGTTAGCGAGGCAGCTAATTGAAAGTGCACATTCGAATAGTAATTGCAATATCATTTTAAATTGTTATTTTCTTATTTGTTTTTCCAATTTTATTTAATTTTTCACCCGTCTACTTTACGGATATTTTTGCATAATTTAGAGTGGAATGTAATTTATTTCAAAGGTAAAACGAAGTGAGAATATTAAATATTTCATGACCTATACCAAATATACTTAGATGCTTCGTAGAATTTAGAAAACAAAACACACACAGTCATAATCAAGTTACCTCTAATTTTAGGGGAACAAATAAATCCGGCAAAAAAAACTGAACCCCGTTTTTATGAATTAAATACCATATTTATCGTTAGCTATTAACAAATCTTGAATCTTTAAACGGTGAATTGTTCATTCTCCCTCTATTAGGAAAGTATAGTTTGCAGCAAATTTTTTCGGAGAAGTCATGTATTCAATAATCACTATGACAAATTTGTGTTTATATGTGTATTTATTCAGACTTTAAAATATCCATACAAGGCTGCATTCCCGATGACAATATTGATGAAATAAAAAAAAACAAACAGATAAGCAAATATAATATAAATTATCATGAAGACTAAGTTGGAAACATACAAATGCAACGACAAAGCATATAAATGTAGAAAATATTAGAAAAACATAATCATAGAAACAAAAACTGATACTATGTCGATGCATTAATAAAAACGGTACGAATATATTCAATTAATCTCAGAGTAGTGAAAACAAAATAATCAAACACGAATAGGCTTAAGTTACGTTGAAAGAACTAGGTATGTATTGAAATGTGTATATATACGGTATATAACCCTACACGGTACATTAAGTGGACATCATACAAATCCTAACCCTAACCCTAAAACTTAACCTTAAACCTAACCTTAACCCTAACCCTAACTCTAACCCTAACCCTAATGTCTACTTAATGACACATTTTTTCACTCCAAATGTCCCTCCAATGACGCTTTTATTGAAATTACATATATACAGAGAGATATATAAACAAATTGGGCCTTCTATGAGAAATAAACCGTAAAAAACGTTAAGCGGACACTATATTGTCCTCCTAATGACAATGTCTACTTAATGACTAAAATTTTCACTCCAAATGTCCCTCTAATGACGCTTTTCGTAAAATATATGGAATAGATACACATATACACTGTCGCCTATAGACTTGGGATAATTTGTTCTTATGTAATTTGATAAAATAATTGTAATTTCTGTGACCCTTAAGATGAATCAAACTAAAGTTCTGAGAATATAAAACTTAATCTTTCAAGAATAAACCATTTACAAAAACAATCCTTTTATAAAAAGAGATACTATGAAAATGTTTCAACTTGTTGGGTACATTATTTGTAACTGGTGAATGAAATCATTCGTATCAAAGCGCTTCACAAAGGCATATTCATGAATTTTGGCCTTATGGAAGAGTTAATTTGATTGAATTGGTTACCTTGAATCTATTAATAGATATGTAACTTTTGTTAAAGTATTATGTGCTACAGTGGTTCTTACGCTGACTTTTACATTAAATTATACATGAACTTGATTTAAAGATTATTTAGACATTATTTCACTTCGAAAACAATCCGAATAAATAGAAATAACAAACAAATTAACAAATAAACGAATGAATTGATGAAGATATGAACAATTAAAGAAAGATTTGGATTAATAAATGGTTTGGAATGATATTGAACATGTAGTTTTCGATATAAGTGTGTTAATTACTTTAATATTAATGTAAAATAAATTTTTCCAAAGTGATTTGCATGTTGCTGTCTTTATTATTTTTTCTTGTCACCGAATACCTTCGATTTTTTTTCTTTAAGATGCTGAAAAATCTAAATATTATTGTTTTTAATATACTTACATTAATTGGAGAAGGACTGTACATATTCATTGACCTGTGCATTAAAGGGAAATCCATTATTGATCACAAACTACTCTACAGTGTGAGTAAAAAAAAGGGTAACATCTAGAAAATTGCTAAATATGATAAAAATCATCTGTGAACAGTAAATTAGTATACATCTTATAAAAGAATGTTTTATCCCAAATCATTTGGTATCAGTTGTGTGTGGTATGTGTTCATGTTTGGATGAGCAGGAGACATTGTTTCAGAGAGTGCAACAATCCTCGGCCAAAGTATTGCAGATGAGCTGTTGGAATAAAACAATTGGGATTGTCCGGTCATTAATTCGGTCTTTGTAGATTCCATTAACATCCCTAAAAAATTAATCATCGCTCAAAATACACGGGGGCGGTGGGCGATACGCCCCCGTGAGCTCCATAATCGCCCCCGTTAGGTTGCTCACGGGGGCGATTGCAAAATTGAAAATCGTCCCCCGTGGACGATGCTCCACATCGTATTTGGGTTACCCCCCCCCCCCTTACCAAAACGCTAGATCTGCCCCTGTGTTTTGGAAAGTAAAGTAAAGACTAAAAGTAAAGAAATAATGTAAATAAGGTTGCTCCGAATAATAAGGAGGACATTATGTGCAGAACGGGAAGAAATGGAGAGAATGTCATGACGGGGATAAAAGTCAATAACAGCTATGTAACAACTAAATTTCTGTTAAGAGGGAAAATGCCGACTTAAATAAATAATAATGATAAAATACCAAGGAATTTAGGAGTTTCATGGGTACCAATTCAATGGAAATTTGTATTAAAAATAAGAGCCCCCGTCAGCACTAAAAGACCCCCGTGAGAAGGCTCACGGGGGCTCTTTTTTTTTGGAAGAGCCCCCGTGGACAAAAAATTAACATATTAATATCAAATGGCAAGTATCAAAGAACATTTGTGTGCTTGTGTGTGTGTTTGTAGGTGTGTCTGACTTTGGCTCTGCAAAAAGCACATACAATGCATCTCATTTGATACATTCAAATAATTTCATCACTTTAATACTTTTGCGCAAGTCGAATATGTGTAATACTGCTCTAGCGCCGAAGGCTACAGACTTTCATAGAGAACAGGACCCTGTTTCATCAATATTTTATCAATAACAAATGCTAACTTTCTATGACAAATTTTGCTCTCAGCCAATTGAATGCCACGATTTCAGAAGCGTATAACAATTAATGTAACCTGTTATTGATAACAAGTTTCACGAAGCAGGGCCCTGGTAGGCTAAAAGTTGTTCACTTTTCATATATTATAGTCGGTCATGGACCCATAGGCATGATGATGCCAGACGTATCATGTAAAAGGTTCGCATGTAGAAAATTCATCAAATAATCTTTAACTTATCAACCTGGTTGACTGACGTAGTTACCTCTCCAAAAAAAAACAATCCATGACTTCATTACGTTACGTTTTTACCTGTCAATAAAACAAACGCAACAACTGAACGTTTTAAAAAAAAAGGCCACCAACTTTATTTCATCAATTCACGTAATCAAAGTTGAATGCCTTTCTTGAATATATTTGACAGAAAGAGTGAGTGATGACGCTGTGACATTTTCCAAGTATTCTTCCGATGTTTATTTCATATGTCAATTTGAAGTCTAATTTGATATCACTTTCGTAACTTTTAAAGATAAAGGTGGGTTCTGGTAAAAAAAAAAAAAAAAATTCTCACAAAATCAAACGAAACTTTCACTGAATGTTCAAGATTACAAATATATGTCATTTTCCAAACAATTTTGGTAGAAAATGTATACTGGCTGAGTAATGAGCATAGACAGATTAGGAAATCAGGGTTAGTAACCCCAACACCATTTGTGTAGTCCCATATACATCTTTCTGTGTACAGTGCTTGTTACTTTACACAGACTGGGCCAAATTTATATTTTGATTTTGATGACCTTATAACTTTGCAGTACACACCAATACTTACATGCTACATGATCAATTTTATCTTTCACAATGCAATGGGATTACCAGAACCCACCTTTATCTTTAACAAGTGCAATTGTACTATCCTAAAGCTAGTCATGCGCATTATTTATTCTTCTAACGCACTGACCTGAGAGTGGCATTCTTAGTTTACCTTCTTCACACTTGTATATTACCTTCTTCACACTTGTATATTACCTTCTACACACTTGAATATTACCTTCTTCAAACTTGTATATTACCTTCTACACACTTGTATATTACCTTCTGCACACTTGTATATTACCTTCTACACACTTGTATATTACCTTCTACACACTTGTATATTACCTTCTACACACTTGTATATTACCTTCTACACACTTGTATATTACCTTCTACACACTTGTATATTACCTTCTACACACTTGTAAATTACCTTCTACATACTTGTAAATTACCTTCTACACACTTGTATATCACCTTCTACACACTTGTATATTACGTCTAATTGTTAAAAAATGTTCTTATCTTTATCAAATATTCTATTATCATTCATTCATTTATTCATTCATTTATATTCCACAAATTGTTCGAGTTTGTGATAGATACTTTCATTGATTACAGATTTGCTAAACAACTTACAGAGAATGGTTAACATATGACAGATTGAGAACTAGAACAACAAACTCATGGGGAAATGTGGAGGGGTCTACAAAGAACATTAGTGTAAGTTAAATATAGTCCCATGAATTAACAAAATTATTCGGCTATGTATATTAAACAAACACAACAATATATATGAACATTGTATACAACAATTAAATGTGAATATTGTTGAGTTAGAGCGGTGAAAAACAAACAAAGCAGAATCGTCAAACACGCAAGATTTACGCCAACGTACATTAAATTACCCTTATAACATGTAAGCATGAATATTAAAGCTTCGGTTGGCTACTATGTATGTGTAATTATTTGAACAAGATATATTTAGGTTCATTAAATGATTAATAAGTCATTATTGTTCGAGTTGACTGATTTGATAATCAGGAGGGTTATTCAACGTCCCCCCTTCAACTTTTTTGGGGGGATAGTCCCCCCCCCCGTAAGATTTGAAAAAAACGGTAACAAAAAGTGCAACACACTTATAGGCTGTGGAGGGACCAAGTGTGCAACGTTTAGACTAATGAACATGCAAAAACCTTCTCGCTCGGTCGCTATACGCTTCCTCTCATAACATCCTTCAAAATGTACAAGAAAATAATTAAAAAAAATCTGTATTCCGTTGGTATCACCGTGATACCAACGGAATACAGAGTTCCCTCGCATTTCGCCCCCCCCCCCCCATTCCGGTCATGAAAAGAAATCGCCGCCCCTGGCACTAAGGGTCAATAGCTATAGTAAAGGCCAAGGGTTAGTTAGTCAGCGTAAGCTTTTGGCCGTAGAGTAATAGTTGATGTATTTGTTTCCAACAATTAAAGACGCTCTGATTGATTGTGGATTTAGCTGTCTCGGGTTCTGAATAGTTTGAGAAAATCTTCTCTTGTTTTCAGAACATTGCCGTCAGATTACAATACGGAACTTGGAGGGCGATGTTCCCGGACTTGCAACCGAAAGCATGGCATTCTGGTTGTCGCATGATATGTATAGTTCTGTCCCGAAGAGAGAAGGAGAGACGCAGAAAACATGTTAGAAAGAGGTATAGCGGGGAATGACAGTGAGAGGGGGAGAGGGAGATACATTGAAGATAATACAGAGAGAGAGAGAGAGGGGGGAGGGGAGGGGAATAAAGAAAGAAAGAGACAGAAAGTGGGTGCCGTCAGAAGGTTTGACAGGGTGTGTGTATGTGTGTGTTTGTGTGTGTGTGTGAGAGAGAGAGAGAGAGAGGGGAGGGGAATAAAGACAGAAAGAGACAGAAAGTGGGTGCCGTGAGAAGGTTTGACAGGGTGTGTGTGGGAGGGTGAGAGTGTGGGTGTAGGTGTGACAGAGACAGGGGGAGGGCAGAAAGGAGCGGAAGAAGAGAGTGGCGATAATAATAGTAATATAATATTAATACTACAATGAGATAGAAACGCGTCATACAGTCATTAATGATGTTTATAAACACTGTAATACCCACCGCACAATTTGCAATAGCATTTACTATGAACACTTCAACTTCTTAATTCTGAGTGATCGATGATTTTTATAATCAAAATTCTGATGGAATTCACGCATTTTTGGAGGAGGAATAATTCAATTGGCTCACAATCGTAGTGACGTCATGCCAGTAGTGCGATTCTCTACGATTTTAAATCAATTCGGCTTTTTAAAATCCCTTTTAAGAGCCTTCAACAAGAATATCTTGTGTCTTTAGATTTGTAAACCTATATATTATTGTCATTTCTTCTAAAATCGGATGACAGGGAAATCGTATAGTGTGCGTTTTAGGCTTAAATGACAATGTGATCTAGCAGGTCTGTAGTCAAGAAAATCAGACTATGAAAAAACAAGCAAACCAACATTTGCTTGTAAAGGTTTCAAATTAACGAAACGGATATCATTGTTTTCAAGAAGTTACAAAAGGAGAATGGAATAAATAAATAACTTGCCAATTCTTTTTTCAGAATGTGTCAAACCACATCAACTCTCCCCTTCCCCGTAAACCCGTCCCTTCCCCGTTGCAATATATACATTGCCATGAGTGAGGAGCCTTAACAAGATTGTATGAATTTATTTTTCTGTATTTCGGGAGGAGGGGGTGTTGTTGCACTACAAGCTGGCACACTCTTTTATTTGAAAGAGGGAGTATTCACCTCTGTGCTCCGCTCCACAAATTTTCTCCATTTTTCTACTAAGAGGATGGAGTCAGCCCCAGACGAACCCATAGACAAATGCCAACAATTTTTTGTATTTGAAGGTGTGTCCCCCCTCCCCCCATCCTCACAAACACACGCACGCTTAAATAGCTAACATTTCTCTTTTATTAAGAAAAGGGGTGTTCCCCTGCGAATGCCAACGCATCCCCCCTCACATGCACATACACACGCACACAAACGCACATCCCCCCACACACACACAATACAAGTCAACCATTTACCTTCTTCTGTGTTGGCAGCCTTAAATACAGATGCTCCATTAGGGAGACACAACTGGATAAAGAACATGTTATTTTGCGGAATCTCTTTATGACGACGCGTCATGTAGGAAGGAAAGGCCTGTCGAATCAACGAGGGAATGAAAGTAAGTTCGTGGTATTAGTGGAGAAACCAACAACAACAAAATAATCATCATCATTTTATTTTTACCGTTATAACCATTATTATTATCCTCATAGTCATCACTGATAAAACTATTATTACTCCTATTACTCTTACTACGATTATATTTGTGATGGTGATGGAAGTTAAGACGATGAGAAAAACGATAAAACGATAACGATGATTGGGATAAGGGTAGGCATATAATGATGACTGTAATTGTTATATATAATGATGAAGATGATGATGATGATGATGATGATGATGATGATAATAACAGTGAACTTACGACTACGCTAAGAGAACCATCATCGTCAGCCTCAATGCACATCGGACTATCATCGGACGATTCTGGTGTTGAGATGGAGACTGGAGTACCATCAACTTCACTATCGTATATCCGTTCGTATTTATTGATAGTCACGGTCTCTGCCAACAAGAAGACAACAAGCTCAATAATTAATTTATTCATTCTTGCACGAAATCAGATTTGGACCGGTTCTGTGCACTATTATTTTCACCTGAATGTCCTCGATCGAATGGCTCAATCTAAATGACACCACGTTTGCAACGGGCTTATGAATCGGTCTTCGCCCACACGAAGACAAAAGCCCCTTAATCAATTAATTCATTAATTATAGTAAGAGATCGTACTTAGACATGTTTTGTGCATTATTATAAGTCTGAATGGCATCGAATGGCGCAATCGAAATGACATTGCATGGGCAGCGGGCTCAAGATTCACTACTTAAGCTAAGCTCTATATTACGTGATCGCTTGATGGCGTGAGTCTGCGTAGAGAAGTAACGCACACATGCAGGTCCGGGTTACTGCAAGTCACGTCACAGGAAGATCATGCTAAATGAGGGTTAGCCTAAGCTGATGAGACCTATAATTCTAGTCTGAAGGCACAGCCTCCTCATTCTAACTTATTGACAATAAGCTAAATCATTGATACAATTGCGCATATAAGCAAAACCCACTGAAAACAAAGTAAAGCAAAGTAAATTCGAAGTTTCAAAGTACATTTTTATAACACTACAGTAGATTGGGGAAAATGAGTATTGTAAAACCGGTCACTCAAAGATTTTTACTTTTTTCAGGCTCTTCACCATCATTTTGAAGCGCAATTTCTGTAGGGCTTCAAGATCACACCATATCATAGGCACTGATAAAACGTAGGGCCATGCATTTCATATTTGTAAAACTGGAAACATCCTAAAAAACGCATTTAAGTTCTCTGTCTGCGAAGTGGTAATTAGGCAATGTGTCACGCACTGTTGGCGATGTGATCATGAGATGGCGCTGTGCAATAAACAGTATGCTAGGGCACAAAGTCCATCGGTTCACTATCGTTTTAAAATACCAATTTAAATGTTGGGTAATTTTACAAATTGGTCGATGCCTTGAAACGTTAAAGGGGTAGTTGAGTTCTGTTTTCAGACCGCAAATGCCTTCAAAGTGCATGGTTATTGCTCCATTTCTGATCTATGACATTTCTAGTGCCTTTTTAGAACCTAAAATTGCTATGAAGGTAATTTTAGACCCCAAAATGTGTAAACTTTAGCCAATACGATCATTCCAATTCGGTTCCACTTAAACAAAATCCGGTGACAGTTAATTAATTATTTAATTACAAATATCAGTACATGGGCCGGCTGGTTGTGCGTAATATAACTGACATGAAAAAGCTAACAAAAAGCCAACATCGGCATTGGCTGGATTACGACGTAAAAGGCGTAATTTCATTTTGTCAACGGCTTTTTCAAATTATGTAATATTTGTGGTGGTACACAAGTATTAGAAAATGTTATATTTATATATTTCAGCCGTCTCTGAAACGATTTTGATCAAACAAAGATGATTTTTTTTTTGGTCATTTAAATTGTATGTTCTTTCAAATTTGACACTCAGTTTTTCATTATCTCACAACAAATTATTTTGTGTGGCGCCCTCAGCAACAGAACTCAACTATCCCTTTAAGCCTAGACTAGTTAGTCATTGAGAAACGTACTTTTACATAGAACGTAGGTCGCCTTGTCGTTGTCGATCTCCATGAATCTGTCTTGTTTTTGTGGAAGTATCATTTGCACTTGAAGGGAAGAATCATAGGAATAGACAAGATTCACTCTGAAAGCACTCTTCCTGGGAATGACTGGTGTGCACGAGTTCTTCAATCTTTCGCTAGGTAATTGTTTGCTGAATATGTTTTCCACAACTGGCCGGTTACCTGCAATCGAAATAGATAAAGTGTGTGTGTTTGTGGGTGTGTGTGTGTGTGTGTGTGTGCGTGTGTGAAAGGGGGTGTAATAACTGCTCATGGTGAAAGAATATCTATAGAGTAACATTTCCAGAATCCCATCAATATTATTATATCATGCGATTGAAAATACATCTGAAGCAATGGCTTTCTCGCATGTACAAAGTACTATTACGGTAGAGTGCATACAGCCTCATTGCAGGCTATGAGTTAAGTAGAAATCTATCAAGGTATCTTTTTTTTCTGCCAATCTAGTGCACTCTTGCGGTGTCATTCAACTCCATTTCCCCTCCTAGGTTTTCTTGATTTCCCTCTTTATAGTATTTCCCCCTTTCTGTCTATAACCATTCCCATTATTTTGAAAGCGCTATTGAATTTAAAATGACGACTCCCATGGGAGGAAACTACAAACTTCAGAGAGATTGTTTTCATTGATTAGCATTCAGATCGGGGTCATTTTTTAACGATATATTTAACTGGCTCACATTTTTCACACATCATTTCGATTAAAGTTTTTTTTTACTTTCCTGCACATGCCCAAACCTAAAACTTAATTTTCAAGTATATGCACGGGTCAAAATAGCTTATGCATGCATGTAAATGAAAGCAAAACCATAGTAGTTGCTCCAAATGTTTATACTATCTCCTAATCTTATCTGTTCAAAAGTAAGTTGATGGGCAAGAAGAGAGAAAGAAAATACCCTTTTCGTTGAGATGAAAAGCAAACAGCCACGTTTCCTCCTGTTTCCTCTTAATAACCTAAATTTTGAAGAAAAAAAAGAGTTAATTTTAGGACTCGTGATTACAAATTTCTTTACCACGAATGTCGGTACGGATATAGAGCTTTCCTTTCGAAATGATTATAGTACTATAAGTTCATAGCCCTCTGTTTCCCTTGTTAACTTAAAAAAAAAATAAAAAAATAATCGTATCATAATATTGATGATAATGAGGATAGATGAATACAAACAAATGAATATACAATTTAATAAATATTGTCTTTAAAACGAAATTATATTATTTTAAATGTTTATAGAAATATTAATACTAACGATATTTATAATATTAATAATAATAATTATCATATTAATAATAATGATTATAATACTGATAAGTTTAATGATAATAATGGAAATAAATAAAATGATAATAATATTAGCAATAAAAAAAAATCATAATTGTAATCATTATAATAACCACGATCTTAGTAAAAAATAATGCCCGATCAACTAACAATAATGAGGAATAAAATAAAATGTATTCTTACCAAACCAATCTGAGTGCCAATATCTGAGAAACATTCTAGAACTGCTAGCTGGTTAGCACGGCTTATGTCTGACTGCAGGTTATTGATGCTTAGTAGTTCATCACAGTTTCTGCAATGACGTTATTGGAGGAGATACATTAGGCCAACAACAAAATCATTTGGTTGTCCTCGACCGCCTACTCTTCATTTTCGGGCCGCTCGATTTTTTTAATTTTTTTTTTGGTTGGGGGAGCAATCTTTAATGCCAAACATACCATTTTATGCATTCTGCAAGGATCAAAATGCGTCCCGTTGCCAGTTTGGTCTTTTCAGTACGCAACTCTGTATTTATTAAACTTACCATTTTTATTTTTCTATGTCAAAATGACGTTTATTCAAATCAGATTCTGAGCATTCTTAAACTCATTTTAAGCCCAATCTGTACTAGTTTACAGGAGGGATTTGACCACCCTGCAAGGTCACTGGACAGGTGGTTATCTCAATCAGCTCTCAGTTAACATTATATATAGAGGTTCACGGGGGACCAATGGTCACCGATTAGGCATTGTTTGCTATATAGAGGGCGCAAGTAGCTATAAGTAGCACAGTGGGGAATAAAAATGTGTTGTATTTCAAAGCCCGAAATACTCTTTGTGTTGGTCTTGACATTCATAATAAATTCAACTAGTCTTTTACCATATTCAAGTGTTTTATAGACTTTGTTTGTTTAAATCCTTGACATCCCAATGATTTTTGATTTTGTTATGGAAAAATATTCATTAAATTTTTTTTTTTTTAAACAAACAAAAATGGGGTGGGGGGAAATTCAAAGAAAGACAAACAAAAATGAAATTAAAATAAAACAAAACAATAACAAATCAGCCCGCCCGCCCCTACCCCAGAGAAGCAATCGAGGACAACCAATTTTTTTTTTTTTGCCTTATGGCGAGACAAGCCTTGCTGCCTTCAAAGAAGACGAAAGACTCCATGCATGGCTGATCATCAACGAAACGGAGTTAAGTATTTTGTCAACTCTGTTTGTCGCTACGGCAGGCAACCAGTGAAAATGAATTCGTTTTATGGAAACACAAACATTATTTTAAATAAACATTACTTTGTTTATCCTGCCTCATTTTTCCTGATTGAAGTGTCAAATGAAAGGGCAAAAAGTGAACTTTTTAGAAATGTAATTTTCTCTTTGAAATTCATATCGCCCGCCAAATGACTTTTTGGTACCCTCTCTTTAAATTGTTTTTAATCACTCTTGCGTGAAATATGCATCATATGAGTTGCATCAAATGAAAGAGAAGGATCTAAGCTTTACAAATATGTGTCATAAATAATTGTGATTAAGTTATGATAAAACATCGATAATTCTCAGTTTCGTTTTTTTCTGGGGCGCACTGTATATATAAAATTATATAGACATATAAATTATTTACATATAAATATATACCTAGTACGTTTTATTTTCATCATTGGGGCCTATAACTCACAATCATAGCTTTCATCAGAGCCAGAGATCCCTCAATTTATCACTCTTTGTTTTAGTTCAGGCTATTAATTTAGCGTGTTCAAACAAATTGATATGAGGTACTCACCTTCGTATTTCTTTTTGTAACGTTTCTGTTAATATAATTCTATTTTATTTGTATCATTCATTTCGTGAAATCATGATTGCCAAAAGTGAAATATATGTGAAATATGGGACAACAAACTGAAAATAAAATTGAATCAATAAGTTATAAATCCTATTTACCTCAACCCAACAGTTCTTGCCAGTCCGGTGCCATCTAGGGTCCTGAACTCATGACCACCCTGACTAGAATAAAGAAGTGCTCCAAACTCCGTGAGAGCATGAGATTTACCAGGAATATACTGAACAAAGATCTTCCGAAACGCAAGCCCATGTGAAGATTCGATCTGAAAATGTAAACAACAGAATATTATATTCAGTAGGTTTACGGTTGCACCATTTGAGAAAGAATAGGGGGGGGGGGGGTTAGTTCGTCCTGAAAAGGAGTACTGTCGGTAAGCTTTTATTTTTGAGTGTGTGTGTGTAGTGTAAACTTCCTTTCTTGAGTGTATGTGTGTAGTGTAAACTTTCTTTCTTGAGTGTGTGTGTAGTGTAATTTTTTTTCTTGAGCGTGTGTGTGTGTGTGTGTGTGTGTGAGTGTAAACTTTCTTTTAGAGATAGAGAAAGCGAATGCTCAATAGTACCTAAAGGGTCGGTGATTCAAAGGGAATGAGGGATGTCTCCAGCTGGTAAATATGTAAAAGGGGTCGTCCCCTTCCCCCAGATATATTTAAAAATCGCTAAAAAAATTGTCTAAATTAACGATTTGTCTCAGCCAATTGAGAGGACTAAAAAAAGGACTTAGGACAAAAAAGTTAAAACTACAGAATACAAATTTTCTGGCGCGGTCGCTGGGCTGCCTCGGAGAAAAAAAGGTATTTTTCAAAGTTCATCGGTTGAAAGTCGCTAACGCAGTGCTACGTCAGGGAAATGACGCTTCGTGTGGAGCAGAATAACAAACAAAAAGAGTTTGACCATGGAGGATCGATTCGTGGTTTCTCTTTACTTCCTCCTTCCTTTAGGCGACCTTCCTCTTTCCTGTTGTTTTTAACATTTTATTTTATTCCACAATCGCGTAAAGTCAGACTAATTACAAATTAAGTAATGATAGAGGACCTTGTACGGGACTGCAACTTAAGGTCAAAGTTGGGTTCAAAATACTCTCGCTTTTGGAAGCTTTGGAAATGCAATCTGTTTATCAGGCTAAAGCGTCAAGGGAGAGGCGGTGATGTATATATATTTATATCTTTTCATCGCTATTGGTGAATACAAAGATTAACAAGTATTTATCAAACTTTCAACGCTATCATATTCCCATTCTCTCTGCACTTTTTTGTTTGTAACTTTGGGCCTTTAGCTATTCACCGCGGTTCTTACCGCAGTGCTATTACTCCATACAACTACTGCTTATAGATTGCTTACTTACAAGCATACACATTCTTTCCAAGCAGTCAGGTAAAACAAACAAACAATAAAACAAGAAAAAAAAAAAACTCTTCCGTTATTGGTCATCATGCATTGAATGAAAACAAGGGCTTCCCGGTCACTTACGGTTTTAACAGCACTTTACCGGGGTGATTGCCGCCGTGCTGCGGTCATCTACACTGCTTATTCCCCTGTCCATAGGAGAAATGAGTTTGTGCCGACTTAACAGAATTAATACTTGTCGACCTACCACTTACCATCTCTTCACCATCATGAGGTTCACAGGGCGTCTTCTTCTCTGTTGCGGTTATAACCGCGGCTTCCTCGTGTTCGTTACTCGCCTCGACCACTTCTTTCTGTTTCGCCTGCGTCGAAGAAATAGCAGCTTCGGAACTCTCAGTGTAATCTTCACGCATGTTTGAATCAACTCTCTCTCGCTCGGTGGACTGCCCAGCTTGGCTTTGATCACCCGACGCTAACGGTTCCACCACGGGAGCGCCCCCCGACTGTTGATGGTGGGTAGATCCCGCACTTCGCTTTTTTGATGCTTTTCCTCCCATAGTGAGTTATGCTTCTATGCTCTTATTTTGAAAGTCGAAGATGAAGTGTTGCAAGTTTAACTTCACAGTGTGAGTGTAGCAACACATTTGACAAGCCAGTTTTCAAGTTGTGCGCATTGATTTATGTTGCAATCACTGCTAGAAAACCCATCGACCAATGGGAAGAAAGGGGTAGGCCTAGTTACCTTGCATCAGTGCATGCGAATGTTTATTCTTTGAATCAGGATCAAAAACATTTACGCAGAATTTCATATTCCTACAATATCTTTTTTTCACTCGCCGGAAACAAAAAACACAGGCACAATAGACCTATCTCTCATTTTAGGAGGACGAATAACTCTGACAAAATTGAACCATGTTAGTATAGATTACGTACCATTGTAATCGTTAACGTGATTTTGACTGTTGTGTTTCCCCTTCTTCTTCTTTTCGGAAAGTATTTTTAGCAGTGACACCTTTTTCAGGGAAGTCATGCATTCAATATTCACTATGACATATTTGTGTTTTGTATGTGGATTTATTCACATTTCTATTCGCAAGAGACAGACATAGCAGGGGATCCAGCAAAAGCTTTTAAAAAAAATCATCTAAGGCTGCACTCATGGTGAAAATATTGATGAAATAAACAAATAAAATGTGAATGATCATTATTTTGGAACTAAAGAAAGGGAACGATAGAGCATATAAAATGTCGAAAATGTTAATAAAATACAGAATCATAGATACAAACTTCGATACTATGTCAATGTATCAATAACATCGATCCAAATATACACAATTTATGTGCAAACACGGATAAGCTCGATTACAGTTGAAACAAATCCCCCTCTCTCTCTCTCTATATATACAGTGCGTCCCGGAAAAAACGAAACCGAGGATTATCGATGTTTTATCATAAGTCACATTTATAATTAATAAATGACACATATTTGGAAAGCTTAGATCCTCCTCTTTCATTTGATGCTACTCACCTAATGCATATTTCACGCATGAGTGATTTAAATGAATTTGAAGAGAGGAAACCAAAAAGTCATTTGGCGGACGATATCTGAATTTAAAAGAGGAAATTATATTTCTAAAAAAATTGAGTTTCTGCCCTTTCATATGACACCTCAATCACGAAAACGAGAAAGGAATGACAAAGTTCTGTATGTTTAAAGTAGTGCTTGCATTTCCATAATTTTATCAAACGAATTCGTTTTCACTGGCTGCCTGCCGTAGCAAAAAACAGAATTGTCAAAAGACTTAACTCCATTTCGTTGACAATCAGCCATGCATGAAGTCTTTCGTCTATGGCCGATTGTCAACGAAACGGATTTAAGTCTTTTCTTAATTCCGTGTGTTGCTAAGGCAGGCAGCCAGTGTTACATATAGTTGAACAACTGAGTCACATCTGCTGATTTGGATATGCAGTGCATGCAATCTTCAACCAAATCGAGTCAACCTCGTTTCTCTTTGATCATTACAAAATTTCACAGTATACATTCATTTTTCTTTTTCTTTTGAGTTTGAGTTCTCTCTCTTTCTCTCTGTCTCTCATTTCATCCTTTGCCTGTACATAAACGTACGAGTCAGAACAATTTCTGACCCATCATAAAACAAAACAAGATAAATAACGAAGAGAAAGGAAAAGTGTTTCATTTTAGGTGCCCTTGTAATAAAGATGGAAGGAGATGGGAAGGGGAGGGGCCCGAAAAGAACTTTGCTCTCGCACATCTCTCTCACTCTCTCTCTCTCTCCCTCCCTAGCTCCGCTCTCTCCCTCTCTCGCTCTCTCGCTCTCTCTCTCTCTCTCTCTCGCTCTCTCCCTCCCTAGCCCCGCTCTCTCTCTCTCTCTCTCTCTCGTTTCATCCTTTGCCTATACATAAACATACGAGTCAGAACAATTTCTGACCCATTATAAAACAAAACAAGATAAATAACGAAGAGAAAGGAAAGAGTTTCATTTAGGTACCCTTGTAATAAAGATAAAAGGAGATGGGGAGGGGAGGGGCACGAAAAGAACTTTGTTCTCGCACATCTCTCTCACTCTCTCTCTCCCTCCCTAGCTCCGCTCTCTCTCTCTCTCTCTCTCTCTCACTCTCTCTCTACCGCTCTCCCGCTCTCTCTCTCTCTCTCGCTCTCTCGCTCTCTCTCTCTCTCCCTCCCTAGTTCCGCTCCCTCTCTCTCTCTCGCTCTCTTTCTCTCTCTCTTTCTCTCCCTCCCTAGCTCCGCTCTCTGTCTCTCTCTCTCTCTCTCTCTCGCTCTCTCTCTGGCCGTGCAAACATCAACCAGGAAACATAATGTTTACATACGAGCAGCTTTTATGTCAAAGTTGTTGTTTATATTTCTAAAGTTGTCCCCCTCTTAATATTTTCATGAATAGCATACTATTGATACTTGCCGTTCCGCTCTTTACTTCTGTTTGACAAAAACACAAGGGGATCAAGTATTGAATCTAATTGGTTTATAAACAGAAAAACAAAACTTCTAAAGTGCATTGTTTTTTTATACCTGCCGTTTCTTAATAAACCCGTCCCTTTGCACTGTTGTGGTTGTTGTGAGGGAAGTACAAAGGAAAGAAAACTTATAATAAGCATTGCTCGAGAGTAGTCCAAGGCAAAACAACCTCAACTAGACTTTAATTCGTCACTTAGACGAATTAGGTGATACGTATGATATTGGTTTACATAACAAAGAATGCATTTAATACACGATATCATATTATTTTATAAAATACTTTTCCCATTATGATCTATCCATATGTCAAGTTTAAATTGCGTCGATCCCTTGATCATTATGGATCTAGGGAAGATAGATTGCAACAATATATGACCATTGACTCTATGCAGTAACCGGTTACACCTTTCACTTTAATTTACATCATGAAGAACACATTCTGACGATTTTATCTTATTCAAAGAAATGAAAATGTAATTGATAAAATGATTATCATCATTATGATAATGATGATCATGATGATAATGAAGATGATCATGATCATGAGCATGATCCTGATATCTTATTGAAAAATGAGGGATGATTTAAATAGCATATAGTCTCAGCTACAACATACTAAAAAATCAACTAAATGCAATCAGAAATAACGGCGATATTGCTCGCAAAAGACAGGAATGTAGAATCCAGATTTGAGAAAAAGTCATCTCCCAAAGGGATTACACGCAAAAAGTAATGGATTAAGTGAAAATAGGGTAATAATAAGGTAAATACGGTTGTTTATTACATTATTTGCGAATCTACGTGTTTTAATAATCAATGGAGATGGTACAGTGAAAGGTCAAAAAGAGAATGAAAATGAAGAAAAAAATGTTGGAAACACCCGGACTCGAACCAGGGATCTCGAGGTTGGAAGTCAAGTGCGTTACCGATATACCAAAACATTTCACATAGCGATTACACGTAAACGGAAAATGGGATTCTCAAATCCCACTTTGCAAGTGCAATATGAGCATGATCCCGGCATCTGATCAAAAAATAAAAGGCACATTTGAGATAGCTTATTGTCTCCGCTACAACATACTCGAAGCTCAGCGTAAACAAAGATAAAACAACAGAGATATTGCTCGCGAAAGACGGAAATGTAGAATCCAGTTTTGAGAAATAGTCATGTCCCATAGACAATACACGCAAAATGTGAAAAACTGACATGCCTCCTTTAATCGCAAAAATACGCCATGATACCTTTGTCAAACTGGAAAGGTGTGGTCAATGCATTCGTAGAAAACTATCTCAGCTAGAACATATCGAAATTTAGAAGAAAAACAATCTATATTTACAGAAATACAATCAATTCCCCAAAAATATGCAAACGTCGTAATATGCAAATTGAAATTTTGAATTTGGAGGCCATTATGATGACGTCATGAGTTAATTGAGGATCAAATGAGACATGAAATCATATTTCCAACTCATAATCTATCCAAATATGAAAAAATATTAGGAGATTCTATCTATTCTAAAGAGTTACAATGAATTTTATATAGGCATGTTTTTGCCCATGTATTGTGGATAAAGATAACGCAAATCCGCGCGTGCTGTCAACTTTGACGGACGCTCATTGCGTTATTAAAAGGTGAACAAGTTATAAAAATGTTTGGAAAAATATACCAAATATGATGACAGAAAAAAATCTGCGATTCTATGTTGCAAAATGCCAGTACGCGCGAAAACGCGCGCGCATGCGCTAGGCGTAATTTTTTTATCAAATGCTGCATATGGCCTGAAACGTATGTAAAAAAAAATTGGGATGATTTTAGGCATTTAAAAAAACGCGCGGACAAAAGCGTACGCGCATTTTTTGACCTGAAATTGACCGGACGGATATTGATCTTAATCATGGTAAATATGAATGAAAATTACATTCCGTTATGAAGATATGTTCATAAGTTGATTTTCACAAAATGGCGCCTGGATGACGTCACGATGATCTTGAGTCTCTGAAAAGTCACGCAGTTCTAAGTTAGACTAATATCTATCATCATTACAAGTTTTATGATAATAGCTTTATTCATTCTTGAGATATCTTGCGAACAAATTCGAGGAAGAATAATAATAAAAACTAGACTTTAATTCGTCACTTTGACGAATTAGGTGATACGTATGCTAATGATTTACATAATGAAGAATGCATTTTCACGATGTCATATTTTTATATAAAATGCTTCTCCCATTATGATCTATCCATATGTCAAGTTTCTACTGTTTAGCCTTGATAATTATGGATGTATGGAAGATATATTGAGACAATTTGACCATTGACCCTAATTAACATAATGAGGCCTACACATACACATTACATATTCCGTAGTAAGAATGAAGTAAGCGAGGGAAAATGAAGGCAATGACAAACGAGTGAGAGAGAGAATATGGCCGGGTTCAAATTAAGTGTTCTTTTAATTATTAGACCCAGTACTGAGGATCTTTTTATGTGCCATGTTTTTGTTATTTGACATATTCCGTGGTAAGGATGAAGTAAGCGAGGGAAAATGAAGGCAATGACAA